TGGATTTCCGTGACCGTCGTCTATTCCGAGAGAATGAAACGTCAAAGCAACAACTCGATCAGCTAGAAAGTATCCTCAATTTCGTTACTTTTAACCTTTCAGCAAGATATCCCATGTACCCACATATCGAATGATTGACAAAAAATGTTATGTGTGAGCATTACGGAAAGCTCAAAAAATATCCCTCGTAACTCATTCGAAGCCGCGATGAAACATTTATGCTTCAGTTTGGAAATTCCGGCCGAAACTTCCACAAAACGACCCGTTTAATTAAAAACCGAGACTCTGTTTCAGCAGTCCTTAAATAATTTAAAACCTACTTATACATCAGCAAGAAAATAAACGAGGAGTTGGTTTAATGGAAGCAAATGTGACGTGCGTTAAAGCGACTGCATCATGTGCATCCACGACGTTCCCGACCCACAATCCAATTCAGCACAAACAACTCATCCAAATAATCGTGTGTACACTCCATATTCTTTGATTGCCCAACCCTCCATCAGTCCTAACAATTTCCTCGACTCCGAGCGGAAATAGGGCAAATCCTCGTGCAACAATGGGCCATAAACCGTTCGCTTTGAGCTTACATGATTCACAATCCGTGCATCACGACTGTTATTTCCACACATACATAATATTTGCAGATGCGACGGGGTTGAAGTTGAAATCTGAGAGCAAAGTGGTTACGTGACGCTGTTCGCCGCGAAAGCATCAGTGTTTTCAGACGAAATAAACGTCAGAAAGCAAGACGCTGGGACGTGGATGCGTGCTCTGGAAATTTTCAACTTTCAGTGCAACAAATGTTCAACTGACAAAAACAACCCCATTCGCCCGGCAATTCCAGAAAATGCACCATAAACCGGCACAGCTCCATTCCCAGCGCTGATCGCGATCAGATTTGTAAATAATTTTAAATTTACTTCCAACTCCTAAGTGTATTTACTTTATATCTTCCTGGAAGTTTATGAAAACGTTCGTGCGTCTAGACTGCAGCCCATATCTTGAACCTAAATTCGTGAACGCCGGCGAATCTGCGAAATATTGCGCAAAACCGCTGTAGACTTTTTACGCGGGATCGTAACATGCACTTAAATTAGATGGCAGTGTATGCGATAACTCGGGTTGAGGGTTTTTCACCGCAAAAATCCGCTATCAACTTGCTTGCTAAAAATGGGTGGAAAATTCGTAACCCGGGAGTATTGGGACATTTTTCTTTTGAAAAAAATGTCTAAAAATCCACAAAAATTCTGAGATCTCGAAAATATAGCGTCAGGCAGCAATTTGAAATTTTAAGCTGTGATTTATGCGACCAGTACAACGCGCCCCTGCAATAAAGTGCACTTTGGGGCGTTTTACGACCTAGTGGAAAGAGTGGCCCAAACTTTCCAACCTGTACTTGTTCTTACCACCGCACTTTAAAATGACATCATAAAATTTTTGTTCTAGACGCATCCGCAGCCCCGTAGCTACGGGGGGGCAAGAGGGGGCTGAGCCCCCCCTGGAAGACGTATACATTATAAATTTCAAATTAGTAATAAAATTTCAATATAATGCCGATTGCCGAAGCATATTAACTGGCCCCACCCGCCCCACCTTTATTTTCGTACAGGGTATATTATTTGGCAATATCACCTTACCGTTGATGTTGACCGTATAAAAAAATGAACATGTCACATTTTATTCCATAGCCTACTATGTAGGTACTTGAGAAAAGTCAAAAATATTATATGGATTTTCTAAAAATTGAGCTTTTATTGAAATGGACAAAAAATAGACAAAAAATTCTGAGATGTAGATCTCGATGAGCTTAATCAAAAAACATAAGGTCTTGATGGTCCCAGACCAAGATTTTTCAAAAATTCGGTTCCAAAGTCGACATTTCAAAATTTCTGAAAAATTACATTTCTTTTGGCGGCTCTGGAAAAATTGTACGAATTTTCGAAAAAATAAAACCAAAAAAAAAAACATTTGGAGATCGAAATCAATAAAAAGATCCCTTCTGCTAGTTTTCGAAAATGCGTGGGAAAAGTCAAATTTTTTTTATAGGTTTTCAAAAATTGAGCTTTTGTTGAAATTGGCTGAAAATCTACAAAAAATTCTGAGATGTAGATCTCGACGAGTTTAGTCAAAAAACATAAGGTCTTGCTGCTATTCGGTTTCCAAGTCGAATTTTTAAAATTTCTCAAAAATTATACTCCTATTTCTTTTGAGGATTCTAGAAAAATTTTACAAATTTTCCATCAAATAAAACCAAAAACATCTGAAGATTGAAATAAATAAAAGAATGACTTTCGGTAATTTTTGGAAATGCTAAGAAAAGTCAAAATTTATTTAGTTTTCAAAAATTGAGCTTTTGTTAGAGTTGACAAAAAATTCTGAAATATTGATTTCGACGAGCTTAAAAAAACGTGACAGGTTCATGGTTCCGGATCAAAATTTTCGAAATACTCGGTTTCGAGCTCGAATTTTCAAAATTTCACAAAAATTACCATATTTCTTTTGGCGATTGTGGAAAAATTGTACGCATTTTCGAAAAAACAACCAAAAACAACATCTGGAGATCGAAATCAATAAAGGAATCCCTTTTGGTAATCTCGAACGTGCTTAAAAAAAAGTCAAAAATTTCATACAGGTTCTCAAAAATTGCCATATTTCTTCCGTCGATTCTGGAAAAATTGTAAGAATTTTCAAAAAAATTGAGTCCAAAACGATTTTTGGAAATCGAGATGAACAAAGGAGTCTCTTTTGATAATTTTTGAAAATGCTTGGGAAAAGTCAAAAATTTTATATGGGTTTTCAAAAATTGAACTTTCGTAAAAGTTGACAAAAAATTCTGAAATATAGATTTGGACGAGCTTAAAAAAACATGACAGGTTCATGGTTCCGGATCAAAATTTTCGAAATACTCGGTTTCGAGCTGGAATTTTCAAAATTTCTCAAAAATTACCATATTTCTTTTGGCGATTGTGGAAAAATTGTACGCATTTTCGAAAAAACAACCAGAAACAACATCTGGAGATCGAAATCAATAAAGGAATCCCTTTTGGTAATCTCGAACGTGCTTAAAAAAAAGTCAAAAATTTGATACAGGTTCTCAAAAATTGCCATATTTCTTCCGTCGATTATGGAAAAATTGTAAGAATTTTCAAAAAAATTGAGTCCAAAACGATTTTTGGAAATCGAGATGAACAAAGGAGTCTCTTTTGATAATTTTTGAAAATGCTTGGGAAAAGTCAAAAATTTTATATGGGTTTTCAAAAATTGAACTTTCGTAAAAGTTGACAAAAAATTCTGAAATATAGATTTGGACGAGCTTAAAAAAACATGACAGGTTCATGGTTCCGGATCAAAATTTTCGAAATACTCGGTTTCGAGCTCGAATTTTCAAAATTTCTCAAAAATTACCATATTTCTTTTGGCGATTGTGGAAAAATTGTACGCATTTTCGAAAAAACAACCAAAAACAACATCTGGAGATCGAAATCAATAAAGGAATCCCTTTTGGTAATCTCGAACGTGCTTAAAAAAAAGTCAAAAATTTGATACAGGTTCTCAAAAATTGCCATTTTTCTTCCGTCGATTCTGCAAAAAATGTAAGAATTTTCAAAAAAATTGAATCCGAAACGATTTTTGGAAGAAATCGAGATGAACAAAGGAATTCTTTTGGTAATTTTCGAAAATGCTTGGGAAAAGTCAAAAATTTTATATGGGTTTCCAAAAATTGAGCTTTTGTTAAAGTTGACAAAAAATTCTGAAATACACATCTCGACGAGTTTAAAAAAACATGACGAGTTCATGGTTCCGTACCAAAATTTTCGAATTATTTGGTTTCGAAGTCGGATTTTTAAAATATGTACTAAACATGCAAAAAAATAAACTCAAACAAATTGGATGTTACCTATATGGTCACTACACAAATTTTTGGATGCAGTAGAGCTGTTTGTGAATGTACATTCTCTGTTTTAACCAGCATTTTAACCAAGTATCCGTTTTTAAGCTTAATAAATCTGGAGCGAAATAACGCCGTTATAAATTAGCTGAATTTGGGGGAGGCAGTTCTGGCCGTCTGGTCAGCGATTTAGAAAACGACTTTCGATGTATTATTTTCGACTCGTTGGCTCTATGGTTCATGGTGCAGATAAAATTCTTACTTGGAATCTAAAAGTTTAGATAAAGCGAACGTAATGGAGTTCGTTGGTGGTGATACTTTTTAAATCCCGGGAGTTGGGGTCGGTCGTAAATTTGCTAGGTGCTGAAAGTTCTCGGTTCTGCGGTCTCGTGGTAAAAACAAAACTATTCGATGAATGGGGCGAAGCGTACGAAGTTCGTTAGGTGTAAAACGATCCGCGTCTTGTTTTCGCGTCGGATTATTAAAGTGGAGTCATAAAAACGAACTTTAAAAATTGCGAATGAAATGCATTTGGTAACACAGTGATGAAATGACGTCGTAGTTCTTTATTTTAGCACGCACTTAACGTGATTAACACATTGTTTGGAGATGAAAGAGTTGTTCGCAACAAGTTTTTGTCCCCCGGAAGAACTCTCAACCGTTCAACTCCTGGGGTTGATAAAACTTCCCGCGACTTGAACTTATAACTCCTGTCAGACGTACCGTCATAATTCACTCACACCTGACAAGCCATTCTCTTTTAACCACCAGGGAAAGTGCGCTTTAACACATTTATGTTTCTCATTTCCGTAAATTACTAAAAACGTACGTATACGTGGCACATACGCCTCGAGTTCCAAATCCTCTCATTTACACACTAATGGACAGCAACGTAATTATTCGTTTACTCCGCGACAACCACATGGGACCTACTTACGGGTCCAAAGCACCAATAGTTATCTCGTGCTGTAAGCGTTCCGTCTTATTTATGCATAGTTCTTGTAACGAGAATCCAGACGGATTGCTCTCCCCGCGTACGTAAAGTTTATTTTTGTCTGGCGCTGTCACCCGTACACAAAACGATGACTTTTTGTCTGGGTAAAAATCAAGCGAAACGTTAGCACTTTATTATATATTACAATATATACAAAAAAATTTGTACATCAAACGTAACATTCGTCCAGTTGACTCAACTGGTAAACTCAGATTTCGATTCGACTTATCCTAAATAAACTGTAAATAAATATGAACTTCGCCATTAATAATAAAAATGAAGATATATGCTTAACAACAAAAATCTCATAGAATCACCTCAGTTTCCGATAACCGTCGGCGTTGGCGTATTCTGCGGCAATTGATCAACCACGTTCTCAATATGTTTGTACTTTTTGATTCGCTTCCACTCGCCGTTGTTGTAATTCATCTGGAAGTGCGTCTCCGCCAACATCGTCAGATAAGTGTCGTCCGGCTGCAACACGTTCTCCTGATCTTCAGACAACTTTATAGTGACAATGTTCCCTAAATGAGGACACGGATTATCCCTTGATCCGGCCATAAATCCCAAAATCAACGCCTTCTCCGGCCTCGTCACTTTGTTCGCCGTACGGAACATATCCTGCGCTTCCAACATCTGCTCCCTCTGTGAAACAAACTTTGTAAAATTGCACAAAAACCACAGTGTTGCTAACCGTCAGAGCTAAACCTCTTCGTTGCAAGGCGTTGGACGTCGTCTGCGGCTGGATCCTTATATGGGTCACCGTCTGAGTAGGCTGCGTCGTTCGCTGGGCTATAGCTATGTTTGACACTTGACCAATGGTCTTCACCGATTGGTCCGTCAGAATAGTACGTTGACCAGTGGGTGTGGTAGCCAGGAGAGGCGGTACAGGACGCATCGTAGGGGTCGCGGCGATCTGAGTAACCGGAGTCGTCGCCAATTTTACAGTCGTAGGCGTGGTTATCTGGGTGGTAGTCACGGTAGTAACGGGGGCAGTCTGTGCAACGGTCGTAAGAATGGAAGACGCAGCTAAAATCCACCAATTTAGTAAATTTAGTTAATATAAATTGGCGAACTCACTCGTCGCTGTGAGTATTGGTTGTGGAGTGGGCGGGGCGTACGCAGGCGTCGCGCTCAACCCAGCCGCGTAATCGGGCGTGGCTCCGGCCGCCGGAGGCGGGCTTTGCAACGCCGCATTCTCCACGTTCTTCTTGGCATCCTCCATTTCTACAATTACTTAAGTCAGACACGAAAATGGATAAGTCGTGAGCGTACATACCTTGCATCTTTTTTCGTTTTTTAGCGGCGGCATAGCCCAGAGGCTGATCAGCAATATCAAGTAACTTAACTCCTCCCTCTTTCCGTCCTGCCGGTAAACGAGCCAATGGAGGTCTGTTGCTCATGTTGTTATTCAAAGCACCTGATCTAAACCCAGACGTGGGTACCCTACTGGGAATTCCCTTCAGCGGCGCTACAAACCAACAATTACCTCACACCCAACCACCAATAAAAATCACCTACTTGTGTCTGTCATTTTTCGCGGCATGCCTCTCGACCGCACCGGAATCACAGGAGCCGACGATTTTTTAAGGTTAGAAGCGGCGTCCGAAGACTTTTGAAGCAAGTCAGCGCGGAGAACTGCAGATTTTTGTTTCTTTTTTATCGTGAAGTGCTTGGTAGGCTCCTGCTTGTGGCCAACCTGATGAAAAATAAATTAATAACACTAGTAAATGTCACCAATAATAGTGACTACTTACCACTGAAATGAGTGCGGATTTGTTCAAGTAGTGGCACTCCATCGGCAGCATGACGTTCTCGGCTTGTTTGCGTACCAGTTTCCGTAAATCCGTGACTAGATCTGTAAAGATCGGTCTCACTTCGTCCAAGTCTGATATTTCCGTGTTCAGCGAACCCGTGGCGGGGTAGGTCTTTAGAGCCTCCGCTAACATGGACACCCATAACTCCGAATCTGCGACCGCGACGTCTAGGATTTGTTCTAGTTCCAGTTTCCACTGAAAGATTGGGAGTGAGTGTCATAACCTCAAACAACTTTGAGGCGCAATTTGTTAGGAGACAGTAACGGTAAGTGCTATGTTAGTAATGGGAGTCTCGTGGGAGTAGCGTTTATTGTGTAAACATACTTCTTCGAGGTTCCTGCGCGGGATGTGGAAGAAACTCAGCAAGAGTTTGAGTTTGACCTGGGTTTGGAGATCCGGAAAACAGTCTTTGATATTCCTCAGCACTTCTGCGTTCAACTGCGAGCAAATTGAGCCCCCTGTCCAAGAATCATTCGAAATACCGAGTTTATTGTGTAACCATAAAGATGTATCACTGTCACGTACGTTCGCCATTTTGCGTTTGGTTTACATTAGGGCTGCCAACGGAAAGAGACTGGAGTGGAAAAGCACTAAACAGAATGGCGCAGTTGATGGTTTTGGAGTTGCAAAGTTGGCATGTCTGACAGAACTTCACAATGTATTGAGTGTTCTGTGGATAATTATAAGATTAGTGACCGTTTCGATGAAATATAATGTTGACTAGTAATTTATCTGCCCTGGATTGATAATTATCTTATTTTTTTCTGTATGACTTAATTTCTCCCTGAGATGAGTTTGACTGGTTGCCTAACAACTTAACAATAATTGAGATATAAACAATGCAAAACGACATTCGTTGTCAATACAGCATTATTATATGTATTTAAAATACGTGTCCATAAACAATTCTAGTGATTTTAATCACAAAACACAACACAAGGTTATGATATGAGCGTTTTGTGATTCTAGTTATCTCACCAAAATTTGATTTGCCACTTGGTTGGTATTACGGAATGACGTAAAACATAACCTCGTTCTGTTGTTTGGCGATTTCCACATTTTAAATGCAGCACGTGTGTTTGTTACCGTAAATACTCGCGACTAATAAAAATGGGTAGAAAAGCGAAATTTAACGAAGGCGTGGTTGTAAAAAGGGGTCCCGGCAAGAAAGCCAAGAAACAAAAAGATCCTTCTTTTCCGAAAGCATTGCAAGATAAAAAATCACGATGATCGCTTCTTCTTTTACAAAGATAATTTCAGATGAGCCAGTGGCGAAAAAATTGGGCCACCGCCAAAAACAACGTTGATAGTGATAGATCACCCCCCATAAAATTCAATAGAAATCTTAAAGACTCCCGTTTTTTAAGGTATTTTTTAAAATTAACATTTTTTAAATGGCCCCGTCAGAACACAACACATTTTAATGATTTCAGCCGTTTTCAAGATAACTTTTGAAAAGTTAAAATTTTTAAAGAATTTACTCGGTTTTTCAAAATCACCCTTTTCAAAAAAGTCAACATTTCAAGGAAAATACATCGTTTTTTCAAACAAGAATACAGCTTGGTCCAAACAAATTTCTTTTTCAAAAACACTTAAAATTCGTCTTTTTTACCCTGTTTTTCTGTTGGGCCATTTCACCACACATGAATACGGTTTTGTCCAAACAAATTCGGACAAAGTCCTCATGAGCGAAGCGAATTGCCCTTTCAAAAACACTCAAAATTAGGAATTTTGCCCTGTGTTAAAGACATTTTTCCTAGTAAACTAGAACACTTCAATTGTTTAGCAAATATACCCTGTAAGATAACTTTTTTAAAAATTTACATTTTTCGAAGATTTTACCGTTTTGAAGTTTGTACAGCCCTGTTTTTAAAGGTACATCTAAAAAGCAACATTTTAAGGATTTTGTCCTATGCAAAAACTTATTTATTAATGATAATATTTTCTCTGTTAATTGTACAATATACATATTTTCAGTTAATTTATATTTGTAAAATATTATTACTTTATTTATTTGTCCTATAATTGGTTATTCCGTTGGACAATAAAGACTATTATTATTATTATTATTATAACCAAATTACAAAGTTTATAATTCGTGGAAATCATCGGAAGTTTGTGGGTTATACAAGTTATCTTGGGAAAATAGGTGTTACTTACTGATAATCGTACTCCATGTTGCTCAAGTTACAGAAAGCTATTGTGGATAAAAAAATAAAGAACGTTAAGGCCAGTCCCCACGTTTTCTCAGCGGAATTTTCGCTCTATTTTCAAAATGTAATATCTCCGTTATTAACAGATCTATAGTTTTCAAATTTTAAATATATGTTGTCCATAACTTTCTTTATATAACGCAAGGGCAATTTTGTTAAAAACAGCTTGTGATCATATTATTTTTTTAATTTTAGTGAAATTTTTGCATAACGTATTTTTAAAAATCAATATTTCAGTTATTTATGGAAATTTTGGAACGGGGTTGTCACCACTGTTTTCAGCTTGCAAAACTTGAGAAATTCTACGAGGTCGATTTTTGACTTTATTTGTTGGGACTGAGATATAGTAAAAATAAAAGTTAGCAACTTCCATGATATACGCTTTTTTTAACTGTGTATCGTTTCTAAAAAATAAAATCGACGATATGTCTCGTATGATTTCTGGAGTTTTGTAAGCTGAAAACAGTGTTGAAAACCGTGTTCTGAAATTTTATTTAATAATTGAGATATTGATTTTTAAAAATACGTTATGCAAAAATTTCACTAAAATTAAAAAAATAATATGATCACAAGCTGTTTTTAACAAAATTGCCCTTGCGTTATATAAAGAAAGTTATGGACAACATATATTTAAAATTTGAAAACTATAGATCTGTTAATAACGGAGATATTGCATTTTGAAAATAGAGCGAAAATTCCGCTGAGAAAACGTGGGGACTGGCCTTAAGACCTAACAATTTATCATGTTCGTTATTATGTGTCAACAATCACAGAGTGTCAACCACAGAACACTCACTGTCAACTGTCAGTTTTTAGTGATTTTACTTTTACTCACCACTCACCAGTGTTTTCTAGGGATTTTTACCTGGTTGGAACTATGAGTAGAATAATTTAAAATTTCAACATCTTAGCTCTGATCTTAGTTTGGTTGTGCAATTGAACAAATTCAAAGGCACCAACGAAAAGGATTAAAATCCAAACGGTATTGTATCAAAGTTTTCTAGAATAACTCTCTTGTCATAAACAAAACCAAATTCCTTTGTTTCTATTATTTTATTTAAAAGTTCTTTAGTTTTAGTATCTCTGGTAATTCGATTATATTGTGTACTGATTTTTCTCTCTTTGTTCGTTTTTGACTGGACCAGCTCTGCTGGACTTTTCTAAAATATTATTTATCCTATCGGAATTAATCTTTTTGGACGTTTCATAGTTTAATGTAAATCCATTTATTCTACAAACAACTTTACTTGTATTAGTCTTATAACAATAACTCTTTGGACCTGTTGATACCCAATCAACAATCCATACGTCCTTACCTAATTCATCGGTCCAATCTCCCAATAGACATCCTGTTTTTACAGTGTTTTTACCATTATTTATATATACAATGCTATCTGTATCATAATATATTATACTTTCTCCTAATATGTCTAACATTTCGTACAATCTTAGTCTAGCATTTGCGGTTGTAAAAGCCGCTATGAATATATTGGTATTGAAATCATTTTCTACATGCAACCTTTATACTTGTGATCAATTTGTAACATATTTTCGTTTAATTCCTTGATATGTATATTATCAAGTCTGTCGTCTAATAAAATCTCTTAATATCTGTAACATACTCTGTTGCCCCCATATTTTGTCTTTGACCAAATTTACCCCATAAGGAATTTAAACAGATTTTTGCAACAGTCTCTCTTTCCAGGATTATTTTCTATTTTACCCAATTCAATACCTAGATTTTGACTGATTTCCACTAAAATAATCTTTTATTTTGTTTGAATATTTCTGGTTTGACATGACCTGGCATTATATCCATCGAGAATTTGGGTTAGATGGATTATTTTAAATTTTAAACAGTTTTCAATAATGTTTATAGCATCACAGCATATCATATGATATGCTGTGATAGCATTATTAAAAATATTTAGCAAAACTCCCTAGATATATATCTAGGGACTTTACTTTTTTTGATTTAACAACGCCACTTGCGCGAAATTGAAAATTCGAAAAACTGCAATGAAAAAATTCATGTTTTAATAATATTATTAAAATTTATAATACAGAAAAACTAAAATTACTGTTCATTTGCTTCGCCAACGACAGTAGGCAAACAAAGTAGTTCCTATTTTGCGGATTCACGTAACAATTAATTTGCTCAGTGCTGTCTTCGTGCAAATGTGAATTAATTTCGGAATGTTCACGAACAGTTTCACCCGGTAACTGCAACAAGCTCGCAGTGCTCCTCACGTAGTCGGCCACGCGCGCTCTACAAGCCGGATCCATCTCCACCACACTCTCCTCTTCGCTCTTCTTCATGATCTTGAAACACAAATGGGTCGGGTCGTGTTCGTTCACAACCACTTGTATTTGCGCCAAACTGATTATCCTCTTAACCACGTCATCGTCAATGTTGACCACAATTAAAGCATTCGACGTCAAAATTAAAGCAACTCCTTTGAAATCCATGTCGCTGAACGTCGTCGCTTCGATCGCAAACAACACGTTCTTGTACGAAATCGAATTCAACAGTTTCCACTCGTACTTCACGGCCGAGTTGGAATCGATCAAGTTCAAGCTTTGGATAACGTCGACCCTGGGTTGGGGCAGCGGGTTCCAGCCCGCTCCTTGAAGTAAACCTTGTCCGGTTAAAGCTACAAGTTCTGCAGCTCCACTCAGCGGTTTGGTGATGACTCCCACGAGGCCTAGACCCACTCCGGCGGCGAGAGAGCGAGGGGAAGCCCCGTCGGCCATGATGGACTGGAGGGGGTGGTGGGCGATGCCGCCCACAGCGCCCAACAAACTAATACCCAGACCTGTTAAACCCTAGAAGACGATTTTAAAACCACTGCAATCCAGAAATTATAACTGTACCAGCATAAACCCTTGAGCTACCCCTTGAGGCTTCAGTCTTCTTTGTTCTTCAGTTCGTTTCAAATGTTCTTCATCTAACGTCAGTCGGTCTAAGTTTCTGGCGACGCTTGACGCTAACTTCGTTACTGATTGCAAAGTACCAGCGGTTACGTGCTTCATGAGGGAGGCAGAACCATGGGTCACTCCCGTCAGGAAAGCCCACGGACCTTGAATTAAACCCCGGTATGGTAGATTGATGAAGTCGCGCAGACCGGTTCCCATGGCGCGCGCTAAACCACTGGGACTTCCTAAGAGTTCTAAGGAACTCACGACCCATCCGGCGCCAAATATAGCGCCTGATAAGTAATGCATGGTCATGGCGTGTCCCAGTCTACGACAAAGTAATAATAATGATGATACTAATTATGATGTGGTTACCTATAAGGCGTGGTCATAAGTCTTCGTCTCTCGAAACGTCCAAACTGTAAAGGCGATTGATCTAGGGCTATGTACAACTTAAGGGATGAGTGGACGGATAAAAGCAAAGATAGGGGTTCGACTGTGATGTTTTTTAGGCTTATGGGTTTAGCAAGTACTAAGGAGTCCCAGAAAACCACCTCTGGAACTCTCACAGAGACGGTTTTCGACGCGGTGGTTTTAGGGTTGTGTTGTGGCAACAGTGCTAACTTCAACGGAATCAAATGGGTGAAATACTCAATTAGTTTGTTTATGTAGAGGTCTTCCACGTAAATCGAGAGAGGGTTTAATTTGATTTTCACGTCTTTAACACCTACAAAAAATTTAATGAACTTAGAAACCAACGTTGAGACGAACTTAACCAACCCGTGACTCTCTTTTTTCGTAAATCATCCAACCACGTTTCAGCCACCAGATCCATCATCAGTAACGTGTCGTCTTTGACGTTTCGTATTAATTCTTTCGCCGATCTCTCGAGCAAGTTCGTCGTACTCCGAGGTTTCGTCTCTTGACTTATTAGTACCACCGGAAAATCGAACGACTCTTTAGAATACAGTTCGTTGTCAAATTGCAAATCTAGTATACACAATGATAATTTAAAGTCCTGAAATTCGGATTTAGTATATAAAAAAAAAACAAAGCGAAAAACACGATCACCTCCTCTTGTTGAATTTCCACCCCTATGTCATCAAACGTGAAACTCGCGACCCCACTCTTCTCCAAATCGTCGTTATAATCGGCTAAAAATATCACACTGAAGGACTTCACGTACGAGAAAATTTCAATCAACTCCCAGCCTTTTTGCATCGGGATTGTCGGAATGAACATGGACTTATATAACAACGATTTCGATCCATCGCGCACCTTCACGGCAGAGTTTGAAAAATTATCCAAATTGATATCCTACAACACGAAATTAGAGACTGTTCGGTCTCAAAACAATGCCGAATTACTATAGAGTGTCGATTCTCAGTCTGCGAATTCTTGCCCAAAACCGTCTCGAGTTCGTGCCTCGATAAGCGCCCTCTGATGTCGATGGCGTTAATTTCAACCTCACTCACCGACTCTATCGTTAACAGAGTAGTGTACGTTGTGACTTTAACCACCACTCGGACGTCCCCGAACTTCGGTACTTTAACAAACTGTTCGGAGTCGTTCAAAATGCTGACGGCGCTCGACCATTCAAAGTGGTCCTCATCTACAAACTGAGTTAGTACTCGAAGAAAAGTAGACGAGTTTGTCACCTTTGGGTTCCACGGCGAATACGATTCTCTCGCTGAAACAAGTTTGCGGCAATTCCGGAAACTTCTCGGACACGAACGGCATAGTGTAGTAGATGCTGGTACCGTGTTCCACTTCAGCCACCCATTTAAAATGTTTCGATTCGGGAGCCCAGCCTCCATTCTCTCTAAGCGACTGCGCGCAGCGCAAATTCACCGAACTCTTGTTCTCGATAAGGATCTGGGGACAGTCGTCGTGGAACAACGACAAGAAAACTTGACCTTTGCGTTCTTGAGACGTGAGCACCAGAGGAACCTACGCACGAGTGGAGTTAGCAATCAACCAAACGACTCCGTGGTACCCACCGATTTTTTCCCAGAAGAGCGCACCGTCAAGCTTCTCCTCGCAACCCCGTCATCCACCCTCACGGGACACGACCAGCCGAACTCGTGTTGAAAGCAGAACGACATATACAGGACGTAGTTGGTGTTGGCGTCACAATTATCCGCATCCAGAACGAACCACCGGATTATGGAGATGCCCGAGTTGGTTTTGTCGAGCTGCGGCGCCACCGAAAACGACAACCTGTCCAAGCTCGGCGGCAAGTCAAAGATTTTGTCGCTTTCGGGGACCGCTAGACAAACTACTTGGATCTGGTTCGTCATGTAGTTGCTGAAGACGTGGGACGACGTGAGTTTGAGGAGGCGGATTTGGTCTTGTTGGACGCTGGTGATGGAGACCATGGCGACCTTGAACGGAAACATGAAGGGGTGCGAGGACTTCGACGAGACTTACGTTAGAGCCGGATTTGATGACGGTCTTGATGGTGCCTTCCAGGGGGAGAGTTCCGGAGATTTTAGGCATGTAGAAGGTCTGGCTCCAGTCGGAGGTGGAGAGCTGGAGAGGCGGCGAGTAGGACCAGCCACCGCCGGTGTCGATACCCAGGTGGAAATTGTCCTGAGGGAAATTGATCAAGTATGCAACCAACCTTATTCACTTTCTCTCAACAGAGGGAGTGATAATAATAATAGCATTGTTTAAGTATATTATAGTTGGACAACCTAATACAAATTTTACTTCGCCTAAATAGTGAGCTTTAGGACAAGGAATCCAGGGGGCGTGGGACAAATTTTTCGTCAACGCGCATTTTCACTACAGTGAGCCAACGTATTAAACAGTAATGTGTACAAAATATGAAAATATACTTAACATAAAAAATATGAAGCAACGCGTTGTAACGTGATACGAAAGAATTGAATTTAAATGAATTTGACGCCTATTTTTATTTGACTATATCTGAAGACTGACAGAAACTTTCCAAGGGTTTTTAAACTGGTATAATTGTTTAGTTTTACAAGATTAAAGTAAAACAAGATTTTAAGTAAAATTTAGATTCGTGGTGTTACAAAAATATTAACACAAAATAAAAAAAATATGTTCAAAGTAAATAACAGAATGACATAAACTTTCGGCGTTAATATTACAAATAATTACAAGAGAGAAAACAACGCATAAAGAACTTAAGAGGCATGTTTGTAATATCGAGTTGTTGAAGGCTGCTTTGAAGACTGTTTGTTTCTATGAAAAACAATTTTGATTTTGTTCCAAAAATACGAGATAACTAATTGTTTCTTGAACTAGTTTCCGTAACTTCTAAAATTTAAAAAGGATACACCGTTCTGCTGTAATAAAATCTAGAATAAGGTCAAAATCACACTAATATTACATCTGATTTTGTTAACCCCATGAATATAATTTACATTAAAATAAGTTACAGACATTGTTTGAAATGTTTATTATAGTTCGAAAACAAGATAAAATAAATAAATAAATAAATAAATAAAATGTGCAGTTTATAAACTTCGGAATTTTAGTATAAAAATAATCATGTTTGAAGCTTTATTTTGTCTGTTCGATTTTATTGGGTGTATTGGGCCCCTCTCGGGATATAACACCGACATCAGTGCACCGACCCAACGTTCTTCAACCGATGGGATGATTTATTACTTCCGTTATGCTGGCCCTACACACAGCGATTTGGTTTTCAGATTTTCGGCTAGATCTGCACAGTGACATAGAGTATTTTGTTCACGCGAGCATCAAAAATATTACGCCGAAAGCACTTCTTCAAGTGTTATTTTTTTTAACATGTCATATTTGTCAGCGTTTGCAAAATTTTCTTCTTTGCACAGGTCAACTAATTTTTCGTAAACCGCATTTTAAAATTTTTGTTATTGTATTTTTTACTTTTTAATTTGCTAAGGTATGAAAAAATCCCATATAGGTTTCTATGAATTTATTAACGAAATCAACTGATAACTTGCGCGCCATTTTGTGTTAATTAACACCAATAGTGATTATGATAATTTTATAATTATCATTTTAATGAAATTGTGTTCTTCACATCGCGAACGACAGCAAACAATTTAAAATTACCGCTAGTCAAGCACCTGAAAATCCATCTCTCCCAAATATGTCTTTCTTGGCACGATTTGTAATCCGAAGTCTCCCTCCACAAGCAATTTTTCGTCGCCTGAGAACTTGTTTGATCTACAGGCCAATATCGGCTTTAAGCCATTTATCTATAAACCGATATTCGTTAGAGTTGATCTGATACACATCCACTACGAAGAACTAACCCATTTCGACCATTGGACTTTACAACGAATAAGTGAACAAAGTTCTTGAACATCTTAACGATTTAATACATAATGTTCCCGAATGACAAAATTTACATTTCAAATTGTATTATCAAATTACACTCACCAAAATTTGTCACGAACAATGAAATGACGCAATCTCCAAATTTTACAATAGTAAAATTGTAAATTCTCCCCGTTTACGGTTTATGCATCCGTGTCGAGTTTTCACCTTAGACGTCAAGATTTTTGGAAAAAAAATCAACATTTTCCAATTTATAATGTTATTTAAATTTTAAAAAGTAGAATAGTCCTGATCTTGTGATTTATACCTAAATACGCCATTGGGATTTTTCGGCTTGTCGATTTCTCGATTTTTCAACTTTAAATGTCTAAATTTTTCAATATTTCAATTTTGGGCTTTTCCGATTCCTCCATTCTTTAAATTTTCTATTTCTTGATTTTTTTATTTTTCGATTTCTCAATCTTTCGATGTTTCAATGATACGATTTCTCAATTTTTGTCCTCTTCAATTTTACGGTTTTTAAATATTTCGATTTTTCAATTTTTCAAATTTTCACGTTTCTAAATTTTCAGTTTGCCGATTTCTAAAATATTTTTTTTATTTGTCCATTTCTGGACTTCCTAAAGTTTCGTTTTTTCACATCTTCAATTCTTCAATTTTTCGATTTTTTGAGATTACGATTTTTCAATTTTGCTTTTTTAGATTTTCGATTTCTCAATTTTCCAATTTTTTGAATATTTCTTTCAGTTATGAGATTTTTCAATATTTCAATTTTTCGACTTTTCGATTTTTGAATTGATGGATTTTTTTTTGATTTCTCGATTTTTTACTTTTTGGATTTTCAATTTATTGTAAACTTTAGATTTTTCAATTCTGCGACTCTTTAATGCTTTGATTTCTCAACTTTTAAACTTTTCGATGTTTTAATATTTCATTTTTTAAAATTCTAGGTTTTTCGATATCTCGAGTTTTCAGTTCTTCTATATTCCAATTTTTCAATTTTTCGATTTTTTGAATTTTAATTTTCGATTTTCCAGTTTTTCTTTTTTAAAATTTTTCGATTATTCAATTTTTTAATTTCTCAATTTATCGAATTCAGATGTTTCGTTGTTTTGATTGTTCAATTTCTCAATTTTTCAATTTTTAACTTTCCTTTTCGGCTTCCGACTCCTCAATTTCTCGATCCTTCGATTTTTCGATTTCTCGAAGTCTCAGTTTTTGAATTTTTCGATGTTTTGATTTTTGGATTTCTCGGTTTTTCGATTTTTTTTCTTTTGAGCTTTTCAATTTCTGGATTTTCCAATTTTTCAATGCCTCGATTTTTCAATTTTTCAAATTGAATTAGATTTGTCGATTCTTCAATTTTGCGAAATTTTAATTATTCATTGTTTTAAATTTTAGTTTTTTCGATTTCTCGATTTTTTGATTTTTTCAGTTCTTCAGTATTTAAATTTTTCAATTTTTCAAATTTTTACGTTAAATTTTCAGTTTTCTGATTTCTCAATTAATCTATTTTTGATTTTCCCACTTCTCGAAGTTTCGATTTTTCAGTTCTTCAATTCTTCGATTTTTCGACTTCGCTTTATTGGTTTGTCGATTTCTCAATTTTTGGATATTTCTTTCAGTTTTGATATTTTTCAATACTTCGATTCTTTCATTTTTCGACTTCTAGATTTTTCTATTTTTTATTTTTGGATTTTCAGTTTTTTGTTTTTTATTTCAATTTCTCAATTTTTCAACTTTTCCATATTTTAATTTTTAAATTTCTAGATTTTTCGGTTTCTCGAGTTTCCAGTTCTATATTTTAATTTTTTAAATTTCCATATTTTTAAATTTTTTGAGATCTCAATTTATTGAGATTCGGATGTTTCGATGTTTTGATTATTCAATCTCTCGTTTTATCAATTTTTCCATATTTTTAGATTTCTCGATGTCTCATTTTTTGAATTTTACAATGTTTCGATTTTTCGATTTGTTGGTTTTTCGATTTTTTGCTTTTCGGTTTCTCGATTTTTCGATGTTTCGATTTTTGATTTATCCGATTTTTCAATTTTCCAATTTTTTTAATTCTCGACTTCTCGATTCGTTGATTTTTCAGTTTTTCGATTTTTAAATTTTAGAATTTTATTTTTTTATTTTTTGATGGATATTTTAACTTTTCAATGTTTTAAATTTTAGACTTTTCGATTTTTCAGTTCTTCAATATTTTTTTATTTTTCAAATTTTGACGTTTCTGAATTTTTAGTTTTCGGATTTCTCAATTAATCAATTTTTTTATATTCCCATTTCTCCACTTCCTAAAGTTTCGATTTTTCAGTTCTTCACTTCTTCAATTTTTCGATTATTCAGGGTTTTGATTTTTCAATTTTTCGATTTTTTAAGTTTGCGATTTTTACACTCTGCGTTTTTGACTTTTCTGTTTCTCAATTTTTTAATTTCCTAATTTTTTGATATTTCGTTCAATTTTGTGATTTTTCAGTTTTTCGATTTCTCAATTTTAACTTTTCAATTTTTAAATTATTAATTTTTTTCGATTTTTTGAGTTTTCAGTTCTTCTATATTTCAATTTTTCAATTTTCGGAATTTTTAAATTTTCGATTGTCCAATTTTTTTTTTATTTTTCGATTTTCCAATTTTTCGATGTTTCGATTTTTGAATTAACCGATTATTCAATTTCTCGATTTTTAAATTTTAGATTTTCCAATTTTTATTTTTTTGATTTTTTTGTTTCGATCTCGATTTTACAATTTTCCCATATTTGAATTTTTCAGTCTTTTAAATTTTCGATTTCGAGGATTTACTGTGTTATGGATAATAGGTATACCGCGATAATATTAACTTTGTTTTACCTTAACCTTGAAACAGGTATGCACTACATATACATATATGTAAAGTCTTCAACACGTACGTTTGCTTATTTTGTGACTGCTTCCCGTACACCGTACTGATTAATACGTCCGTTTACTATCTTATCGACATCACGTGTTTACGGACTATTTTACCCCCTTTCGTAAAGTACCCCCACTTCATACTGAAGCGGGTGAGATGTAAAATATATATTCATTCTTTTCTACATGGGAAAGTGATTGTCCGTATAGGTTGTCCAACTATAATATACTTAAACAATGATAATAGTAACAATACTTACATCTAGCTTAGGTGGGGCCACCACCCCGTACTGCGGGATCTTGCACAGCTCCGCCCCATTCATGAACACCGACATCGAGCACCCAAAAGTGTTCACCATCAAACACCACGGCACCAACTCCACCGACAACGCGCTCGAATACGGGCACGCATTCTGGTACCTGACTTGAATAGTGGTCTGCGGTTGCTCGTCCACGATCCACTCCACGTTCTCCAAGTCCTCCCCGAAGTACGGCCACTGCGAAACATCGCAACTCCTCAAACTCTCCAGAATCTCATCAACATTTTCCTTCTCCGCTTTTTTAAAAAACTTCTGCTGATCCACCAGACTATAATTCAACGGGATGTAAGGGTCGGAAATCGACGTCCCGTCGCTGAAACACACATTCACTTGTGGTTTCCAATCAAGTCAGACTTACTGTAGTTTGAAAGTCAACTGGTGTGAGTGGTCGATCGTGCCTGGACAGTACAGCTGCTGCAACTCCCCCTTTCCTTTGACGGTCGACTCAAGATGGACGTTCAACGTGGGGGTTTCAATGTGGATGTTGGACGTGATTGGAAGGTTCGACTTTACCATGAAGAGCGGCCACAACATGGCTAGAATGCGCTTACCCTTTTGGCAGTCTTGAACCACGATGCGGCACCAGATGCTCAAGAATTGGCCGCGCTCCTGCAACGGAACTACACACAGGATTAAATTAACAACCCCAGTTCAGCGCACCTTTCACCAGCCACGGCTGCGCTCCTTTCGTGTGTTCCCTGAGCGGTATATCGCCAGTCCACGCCGACTCCAAGCCGAAGAACCTCAACCGAAAGTAGTAGTTCGTGCGGTGGTCAATGAACATGGAAGGCGTGATCGTCTTGCCCCCAAGTACGTGCACCGGCGCCTTCTTCATCTCCTTGTCGTCTTTGGATTCCGGGACGATTTTAAACTCGAAGTGCTCCAGAAGCATGTTGGCGATGACGAATTGTCCAGCGATGACGATTTGTTTTTGGCTTGTCGATAGCGCTTTCACTGTTACGATCACGTTGAGGCTGTTCTCCACGCTGATGGGGATCAAACGGGTGCCTTCTTCGTCGATGCGGAAGGGTTTGGACCATAACCAACCCCGTTCTTCGAACGCCACTTTCAATTTACGTTTGCACTTAGGGGAGCGCCAACAGTACAAGTTGAAGCAGCGACTCGGCAACAGGATGTCTTCGTCGGTGTTGATTTGGCCGAAGCGGAGGTTGATGTTGGTGTCGTTGCACACGACGTAGCGGGTGAACACCACGAAGTCGACTTCTTCATTATCCAGAGATTTGACGTTTTGGTGCCACAGTTGCGCGTTTAGGGTTAAAGTGTGGGCTACTGTAGGCCCGAAGATTACTCTAATGGGGGTGGAAACGAAACTACACGACAATTTCTTAGCTAAATTAGCTTCTAGTTTGAAAGAGAACTGGTCCAGGAGGGTTTGCTCGCTTAAGTAGGTGTAATCGAGGACGGTGCACTTCGTCACGCAAGATAAATCAGCGAAGAGCATCTTCAAGTCCCAACTGGCAGCGTGCACTTTTAAGTTGCTTAGGGTTAGTTTGAAAAAGCAGTGGGTGTCGGGGATGGACTGATCCGAAGAGAATTGTTGTAAACACCCAGGGAGTACCACGGATGCTTTTTTATTGAAGGTGTTAATCAAAGACATTTCCAGTTTGGACACATACACGACTACGGTCAAATTCGGAACTATGGATTTATTAAAATACGAATCAATTCTCATGCAGGCGGCTAAAGCTCGTGGAGAAATTAAATTCCGGTTGATTTTTTTGCCTTTGTTGTCCAAAGTGGTCAAAACTACGCGCCAGATGTAAGCCACCGCACGCTGAGGCTCCGTTTTCGGAAGATTAAGATAGCAAACCTCGGTTTCCGACAGGTTGAAACTGGCGTACGAAATATACGCACAGTGATAGTCCGACCAATACTGCAAATTGCAAGTGACTTGACAAGGTTCCAAATCCATGGACATTTCCAACGGCACCGGAAATATCCTAACTTTAGTCAAAGCCCGTGGTTGCGGGTACCTCCAAGCCATCGCCGCCATCTCTTTATAGTTCCAAAACATCACCTGATACGGCAGCGGCAACTCTTCACTATTCGCATTACTGGCTTCAATAAACTGAAAAGCCCCAGCTCTCAAATCATCCTTGTAGTGTTGATCCTTCTCGGGGACGATCACCTTGACGTAGTCTTCCTCCTCGAGACTCCCCGACGCAAAATACGACGCGAGATCCACCATCTCCTTGACGATTTTATCCACACAAACAATCTGTTCCGGACTCACGTCCATCATCAAACAATCGCTATCCACCGCTACGTGAACCTGGGGCTCACTCTCATTGCTCTGCCACGACTCCAAAAACGCACTAAACTCCACCGTCACCGTCCACGGATTCAACAACAACCTCTTCACACTATCATTCGTCACGGAAACCGTGAGACACTCGAACGTCAAAAAACTGTGAATCTTCTCCGGCCGATCCGAAAAAAACACCCTATTCTTAGTGCGGTTGATCACCAAACTCGCGCTCAAATTATGCTCGGTCTCTACAACGACCACCAGCTGGTCGGTCTTGAACTGGATCATGTCCACACCCCGCAGCGATTCTTTCACGCTTCGGAACAACGACGTCTTCTCCACTTCCTTTTCCACGCTGACGCTGTCTTTCCACACGATCGGGAAATTCTCGACGAGCTTGTTTTTGAGGGTGAGCAAAGCCGTGATTTTGGCGAGCGAAAAAACGATTTTGGTGGGTCGCGACAACTCCACGTAGAAGGTAGTGTTCTTGCTGTGCTCTTTGGTGCACTTCATGGTGAGGAAGGCGGGTGGGATTCCGGTCACGTGGTCTGGGTTGCCGGAGCGGGTGTTTATTAAGTCGACGGAGAAGTCTTGGACTGTGGGTATGGACGAGATGGGGCTGCATTTGGGGTCGCTTAGTTTTATCCCGAAATCGAAACAAGAGAGGTGGGTGGAACTGGCGAATTGTTGCGTGGAGGAGTAGACGTTGGGTTGCGAAACGAAGAAGTAAATTAAAGGGATGTATTTCTTGTGGCTTTTGATTGCCTCGTCTACACTCTCTTCCTCGGAGGCTTCGTAGTTTCGGTCTTCTTCCTATGAAAATACATTTTTCTGGTACGTTACAAAATGGTGGAGGCGCCGGTATAAAAATTAAGTTAATCAAAGATTCGCCTATTTTACGGAAAGTATGTATTTCTTTCCATATTTCGACTACTATAGTATTTCCAGTGATAGATTCAACTATTTTAAATATCCATAGATCACAAAAGTCCCCAGAATTAAGCGCGCGAATTGTAGTTTGGTGAATTGCAGCCTTGAATTTTTTGACAAATGTCATTGAGGTTAGACGCGCATGCGTTGGTTTCAATCGTTTAAATTAAAAATTACATTTTTTCGGGTTTTTAGAATTTATGTTGTGCTTTAGATTTTTGCATTGGGTTACATTAATCGTATAGTGATGTGTTTATTATAATATTTGTAAGTTAAGTTAAAATTGTGTTATCTGTTAACTAGTGTTGTGGGTAAATACAAACCTACCTAGACAAAAATATAAACTCCATAAACAATAACGATCTAATAATGAGTAATATTGCCCAGGTAAGTGTATGATGGCTTATTTAAAAGGCTTCATGTGTATATTTTTTAGGAAAACCAAATGAAGCGAAATTACTTAACAGTAATAGACTATACTGTGGCGCAAAAGATGATTGCGCTTACGCTTTCTTCAAAAATAAAAATCTATGCTTGGGATCGCCAGCTGAGGTCAACAAATTGTGCAGTTGTATGCATGGTTTCTTATGGGTATTTGAATGTTTATAGATCACAGCTAAATGTCTCGGAATTAGTAGGAACCAAGTAATAAAGTATAAAAATTTTACTGATGCAACTGCAAGAAAAATAAAACGAAAACGTCCAAAAAAAGCAACATCTGACCTGGATCCAAACATCAAACGAGAAGTTCGTCTTGTATTGTACGATATGGTGCAAAACAGTAAGACTTACATCAAATTTAACTTTTCTGACGCAATTTTCTTCCAACTAGAATTTGAACTTAACTATTCTATAGATTCCCAGAGATTCAATTCAAATAGATACAATAAATTTTAATTACATTAAATTTGTTCTAGGAATTCATGTAAATTTGGATACCTTGGGAGCAGAATTCTCAGCTAAATTTATCTACACATATAAAAGATCTAGTTTAGCACTTCTGTTAAAGAATTTGGGATTTTCATACAAAAAAGATGATAACAGACGTGCTTTAATGGAAAAACCACATGTTGTAGCGCTGAGGAAAGTATTTCTATCAAAATATATGGAGAAGGTTAATTCTGCAGAGAAAAAACCTTTCATATATTTGGATGAAACTTGGGTATTTTCAAATGGAACCGTTAGGCGATCATGGCAGGATGAGGATCTACGTTCTGTCAAAAGAACTTCTGGAGACGGCGGTAGAGTATCTACTACACTGAGTTTAATTTAGGCTAATACAGGATCAATGCATTTTTGTCTAATACTGAAGTTACCTCAAAACAATTTTAGGTAGATACATTATAGTCAATGCTGGTAACGAAGAAGGATTTGTAGAAAATGCTTCTCTTATATTTAAAAGTAAAAACAACACTCTGGATTATCATCACGAAATGAACGCTGAAAATTTTGAAAAGTGGCTGCAAAACGATTTGTTACCAAAACTGGAAGAATCTAGTATAATAGTCTTAGACAACGCCAGTTACCATAGTCGACTTGAAGAAAAGCGACCTACAACGGCGTGGAAAAAAGTTGATCTTCAATTGTGGCTGCAAAAGAACTGTATCGCATTTTCAGAGTTGCATAAAAAAGATACACTGTTAAAGCTATGTAAAGCTCATTATAAAAAGCCAGTGTATGTAGTAGACAATATTATTACTGCAGCTGGTCATGATGTTTTACGTTTGCCTCCATACCATTGTATATTTAATCCCATAGAGATGGTATGGAGTCAAACAAAACGTTTCTACGACAAAGACGTTTTAAAATCTAAAAACCCACTTGATGCCTGGAACCGAGCCCTACAAAATGTAACACCGGAACAATGGAAAAGCTATGTTAAACATACAGAAAATATCATTAAAACCTATTGGGACAAAGAAAAGTTTGTAAAAGTAAATAATATTATAATAAATTTAAACGTAGAAACAGATGAGAGTGATAGCGATTTTAATTTTGCTGAAAATGATATATGAAGAAATAAAGTTCTATTAGCCAAATACACTGACGTCATCCAAGGTCATCAAGATGGCAGCGTTTGACAACTAGCCTGTTTTCTCATAAGAGTCAATGCTAATATTTTCGGAATTTATTTAAATTTGAGAGCGTGTCATCTGTGTTTTTATAGTTTGATAAGTTTGTTACAGTTTCTAGACTGTGTAGATATCTGTAAAACGCACCATAACGTTTGAGTATGCTTAAAAAATAATGTTTTCCAATGTGATGTACAGGTTAACTTCGCTGCATCTTATATTATTTGTTTTGCAAATTAATTCTTTGTTAATGTACATCAATGTTTTTTAAATACACTAGCATCTTAATGTTATAATATTTTGTATTTTAGGAGAAAATGCCTAAATTTTGTGCTGTTGTAGGTTGCGCGAATCGAAGCACCAGAAATGCGGACAAATTTTATTTTCCTTTCCCAGCAATTACCAACAATAAAGGTAAATATATACAGGATGGGGAAAAAAGGCGGAAGCTTTGATTAAAAGCCTTGAAACGAGTGGATTTAACGAAGCCAAAGTAAAGTATTCCTATGTTTGTTCAGATCATTTTATTTTGGTACAGTAACTACCTATTAGATTTACAGTTTTTAATAAATTACTACATTGGTGCTCTTTTAGGTAAACCTGCAGATTTGTCGGATGTGGACCATCCTGATTATGTTCCATCACAAAATTTAGGATATCAAAATAAATCCACTAATAATACTTGTAATGTTGAAAGACAAAAATAGAGAAAACTGAATAAATGCCTCTAGACTTTTGAATGCACATATTTCATTGTGGGTTATTTTACTTATTCCAAAAATAAAAAAGTTTAGAATGGTATTCATTGTTATGGTAGGGACATCGTCTAAACACAAATTAAAATCACTTGCACTCATTATAGATATAAGGATCTACGCCGTTTAAATTGTTTAACTTTTGTACATATCTGCTTTTCTCTTTGACGGAAAGACATCGTGCATAATCACTTAAATTTTCCATACTTTAAAAACAAATTACACACCTTCACTTAAACCCGTCACATTAACCTCAAACGAAAATATTAATTTCCGATTTACCGCTTAAAACACACGAATGTATTTTGGGTGACGAGGAATTCAGACCAAAACAGCGTTCTGTATTTTTATTTTTATTATGTATTTTTAAACTCAAATCGCCAAAAAAGCACCCTGATACACAGAAAAGATATGAAAGAAGCTATTCACGTGTTTATTTTCTAGATAAATACCCACACTTTTAAATAAAATACGAAAATGTTAACATTGTCACTTATGGAGTTTCACGGCGCTTGTCAAACGCTGAGTTCCCGCCACAGCGTGACGTCAAGTGTTATTGGCTAATTAACAAAGTTCTTGTATAGCAATTTAAATTAAAAATTAAGACCTTAATAATAAGATATCTCGAATTATAAGAGATTAAACATACTTTATTTAGAATGCTGTAAAGTTTCTTCAAAATTCATTGCTTTATTAAAATTTAGTAGTGCGCAAAATTTTAAAGGAAAAAATTAAATTTTTAAATTTTCGCGCTCTACTTAATTTCTAGTAACTTTTCTGTCAGTCAATCTATCACAAAGACTTCAGATATATATTTGAAGTCTTTGATCTATCAGCATACAGACTATACACGAAAAAACAAGCCTAAATTTGAACCAACATGATTAAAAATCACGTGAGGCAAGGTTAGTTAATAGAGAACAGGTTACCACATAAACGAGTATGTGGGCAAAATCGCTTACGGGGGAGGAGAGGTGTCAGCCCCATGTGACGTCAAAATGAGGTTGGTATTACTTGGGAATTTTTAGTAACTTGTAATTTTGAGTTGGTGTGACCGATCAGCTGATGCCTTTAATCTGTACGATCTGTACCGCTAATTCTGACGTTTGGTGTTAGTACTGCGACTCGTGTAACCCTATTTTGCCTCGTGTTTTATGTACCACTAAGTATTTGCTCTGCGTAGTTTGTAGTTAGCTAGTATACTACAATCAAAAGATTTGTCGATTTATAATCATGCCAGGACATTATCGTTTTAAGAAAAAAATTGTTACTCGGATGACCAATTTGTTAAAAAATATTTTGGAGCTCCCAGAAGAAATCACAAGGGCTTTTTTAAAACAGAGAACTTTAATTAGAATTAAATATTTAAATAATAAATCTGAAAATAAACAAAAGTATAAAGAAATTAAAAAATTAGCTAAAACTGTTTGATGTATATGTAAATAAAAATTATTATAAAATTTTATGTATTTTTACTTACCAGTAGTGTTAATGTTTAGTTGTAATATTTTCACAAGTTTAATATTACAGATTACAGTGAATTAAAGTGGTGTTTGCCTAACAAAAAAAAAAAATTAATTTATTTGTGTTTAAGCTAAAATGAAATGTTTTGATATATTACTAGAAAGGAAAAAGTAAACCAGTAAATGCAAATTTTCAGATTTTTTTGCATAAAAAAAAATCAGTTAATAGTGTCGCATTTGTTATTTTCAAGTTCTACTGGCGGCAAAACATTTTTCTTGAGGTTTATTAAATTGTTCTTTACACAGGATTGAAATTTGCGAAGTAGAAGCGGTCACTTGATTAAAAGTTTCCGTTTTTAGTGCGTTACTCGAGTATTTAAAACGGGCAATTTTCGCGCCATTTGAGAGCCCCTTGTGACGTATCAATATGGCATCCCAATGTGGCAACCTTATCTATTAAATGACTTTGCACGTGAGGTATTTAGAATGAAATGTTTGGTATGCCTGTTTTTGACAAGCGTAACTAAATAACGTCAACAATGTCATTAGAATGTTAATCCAATTTCGGGATATTTTGTGTTCGAAATGAATAAAAGGGGCCCCATTTCCACTTACCTCCGCCACCTGCGCCCCCCTCTTGCTCCTACGAACCCCCTGAATCGTCGGCGTCACGCAGAACTGGTACAAACAACACGAGATCTTCCCCGCCGTGAACAAAATCTCCAGAGGCACTTCGCAGAAGGACTGCGACGGAGAAGGCGACTTCTGCACCTCTTTCGTTGGTTGAACTTGAGACTTGGAGGACAACACGCTCCTGATCTCTGAAGTATCGATCCCCGAATCTTTATAAAATTCGGTCAGCTCAGTCTCGAGGTCGTCTTTGAAAATATCGAAACGAGTGTACGGGTAGGTGATTTCCAAACGATTACAAGTAAGTTCGCTACTCAAGGGTACAGACATTTCGTTTAGTAGCGCTGAAGCTAGTTTGAGCTGGTCGAGCGAGAGGAAAATCGCGATGTCTGAGACGAAGTTGATTTCGAAGGAACTGCTGCAGATGATTATGTCGCTTTTGTAGACCATGACGGGGGCGGCCACCACGCTGATGTCAAGTCTTGAGAAAATAATTAAGCTTGATAATTATAACTAAAAAAAGTACTTACTTTTCTACTACTTGTTTTAGGTTTAGTATGGGCACGATGCTCAATTTACCCTGCTTGAGGTTGTTCCATTCCAGAGCGGGGTTCTCGCTAATCCCCCTCACCAAGTTTCCTCGCATATTAAGAACTTGGTCTAGGTCCCTCCACGTCGTGGTACTCACCGCCATGCCACAAACGTCCAACTGGTATTGTCTATCTTCCAACTCACTCCCTGGTATCGTCAAAACTCTAGCTTGAGCTGCTTGTCTGTATATATCGGGTCTAACCGGAGTGCGACAAATCGGGTTTACCACACTAGGACTCAAACTGATCTTCTCCACTTGGATCACGAACACGTCGTGATTATTTCCGCTCCCTGACAGTTCCGCCGCCGGCAAAATAACCCGGATTTCGTGACACTCCAAGTACGCCAGTGGTAACGCTTGATTGGTAAACGCCGACTTTTTCCTCGTCGCGACGTCAGCCTGGTTATCCGAAACCCCATCGACGAAAGGCGCCACGATCGAGTAAAACCCTAGAAGGGTTTTAAAAGAAATCACCACGTCAATCGGTTGTACGCTGACCACAATCTCCGTGATGAACCGCGACGTGGAGATCTGATGCGTGGTTCGTTTTTCTTGTTTCGAGGACTTCTGCAAAGCCCCCCATAAGTTATGAGTGTGTTGGCTGCTCGCCCTCGTTATCGTAATTCCAATAAAACCACTCTCTTCTGGTCGTTTTTCCAAAGGGACGTCTTCTCGGAGCCTCATCACCACGCCCGAGAAAGGTCCCCGTTGCCACTTGTGTTTCTCGGATGACCTTTTGTAATGTTGGATTGAAATCGAGCCGATTTTGCTCCTCATCTTCAAGTAGACGCTCTGGTAATCAAGCGAGCTGACGATATCTTCGATGTCGATCACCAGCTTCAAGTTGGAGTTGGCGTCGTGCGACAGTAACTCGATTGAGAATTTCGTTATAGTCCACTGGATCCACGACGTTAGTTTGACGTTTTCGGTGTTCATGGAGGCGTCTGCGGGGTCAGCGGGTATGGTTCCGCTGGTGTTGTCGAGGGTGTTGTCTTTGGCGGTGGGGGAAAGCGAGGGACTCGCCACGGTGACTAGCGTCGGCACGGAATCGACAAATTTGGGTATTTCTGACTTCTTGGGGGTCAAACTATTGAAGAATTCGCTTAAACCGTAGATGAGACTCGCGAGTAAGCACATTTGGGTTTCCGAGACCGATATTATAATGGGGGTGACGTCGATGTGGACGTACACTCCAAGACTCCCGATGGGGTTGCTGTCGACGGGTGGTTGGAAATCGGCGCTGGTTTTGCTATCGTTGGACTTGGTGGAGAGACCGACAGTCGCACTGATTCCGACGGTTTTTAAAAACGCGATTTCTTTACCGTGTTCCATCGAGTAGCAAGTTAAGTCGGAGACGGACATAGTCCAGGGGAAACTAGACCTGTCTGTGTTTACAAAAATTATGTCTGTGACGTTGTCGCGACTGGACTTACCGAGATTCCACATGGTTTCGGGAAGCTTGACTGGGAGAGTTTTTAAATATTTCACGACGTTTTGCTTCTGGGCGCTGTGGATGTTGGCGAACGGGAGCGTGATGACCATCACGTTAGGCACCAGTTGTTTGTTCAAAGCTTCCTTGATGGCTTCTTCAACACCTAGATTTTTTTCATGAAATGTTGACACAATTCACGTGATTTATAAAAATACCTTGAGAACCCACAGCGGAGATCGACGCCATCGGAAAATAGATTATGCATTGAGAAATGTGGCCGCTCAGTAACATACTTTTCCAAACCGGGTGCCACGTTTTTAAAAAATCGTAGATTTTTTCTTGTAGCTGAAAAAATATAGTAACATTTCCAATTTGCCGTTGCACAAACTTACATCCACTTGTTGTTCTTCTTCTTCGATTTTTGGTAATTTTTGATGTGACGTGTATACTATATCTCGGTCGGAACTACTATGCACGGATTCGATTTGAAAGCTACTCCGTCTGGGGGTTTCAGAAACGCTACCGTAAATTTCCGTGTAACTAAGACTTTTGAAATGGTGACGCTCTACGAGACTTCCATTATTAACTGTACTACTAAAACAATGTGTACCTTCTGATCGATGTAGCCCGATTTTGAGAGGGTGGTAAAGCAACCATTTACAGACCAGTGGGTCCACGCAAACGTTAATCTCTTGTAGATTAAAAATGACCAAAGACGGGTGAGCTTGTAAGTCGGGTTTTAAAGGATATTGAATCGTTGCCATAAAAAGGGGGAGATCTTCGGAAAAACTACAAATAATTGTAACGTTATTTTGGAAACTAGAAATCAAATAAGACGCACCTGGAGGTCGCTTTTTTACCACTTTTGGGTTCAGGGCCCGAGAAAAACAAAACTTGTTGTATGTTACTGGGTACAGACGTCTGTTTACTACTTATGCTTTCGTTTGATTCAAAAATAAACGCTTTGATAGATTCTAAAGCGACATCTATTGAAACCGTGGAGTTCGTGCAAACTTTTTTAAACCTTACACCTTCCACGTACAGTTCCAAGTAAGGCATCGCTGCAAGTGTGTGTCAGAATGGACGAAAAATAACAACAAAAAATTATACCGTAGTCTTTACAGGCGTCATACAGTAGAGATGTGTATCGAAGCGACTTAAGTCCGTTCATATCTTGCTTAAGTATGTTACTGATCAAATGTGACACGACTATGAGTTTCGCCTTAGTACAATTAAAAGTCAAACTTTCTGTAAAACGATCATCAGTGTTTAAACTTTAGCGGTCACCACCTACCAGAATGAAAATTCACTTCGCTGTGCATGACGTCATGATTAACCCAATACTGCGGACTCAGTATACTCTTGCTCTGATAAACCAAATTAAAGGGAACAACAAGCGTCGTCTGATTATTCGGTTTCAAAAACAAACGACTGCACAAACCAACCACGTTCACGTCAACTTTCGAAAAACAAGCGTCAAACATTTTTTTCGGGGGGTCCGGTAACTGACACGTGGTGTGTACAAGTCTGTTCAGGTACATCGGGTTAAACATGGTAATTTCGATCAGTTTGCACTCAATAGTGACTTTCGGGAGCTTCTGCAACTGTATATTGGGCAAACTCGTGGAGGTATGTTTCTTAAAAAAAAAAATACAGTTGCAATTGGTATAAATCGTCCCACTTACTTTGTTTTTTTTAAACAAGCCCGCTTTAGTCGGTTCGAAAAATGGATGATCCATAAATTGTAACTCCACGACGGGTTCAAAAATCATAAACTGGATGGTTTTAGTGGGGATGAATTCATTCAAAGCGTCGAAATCTTCCTCGGATGGTGGTAGCAACTCGTGGAGGAGGGGTTCGGATTTCGGGATGTAGTAAGGGGGGTAGTCGTAGTTGGACGCCGCTACTTGAAGGGTACTCGTGCGGTGGCAAAAGCCCGAACAAACTCGGAACTTCAAAGGGCCTACGTAGAACCGCACGGACCCTTTTTCCGCCATGTTACTATCAACAAGTAAGTGAAAAAGTCGGTGACCTAAACGAGTCTTACCTATACTCCAGGTTGCTCCCCAACTCCGACAAAATATCGCTACTGGTGTCCTCTGGCAGCTCCATCTGGTATACGTAGTCGCAAGCGAAAGCTGGAGTGCGCTCCAGGAGCACCGCGTCGGTATTAGTAAACATATGAAAGTCCCAATTCGTGTTATAATTCCTGTATTGTCCCTGTCCATTATTCTCCACAGCCTCCGCATCAAAAAGCGAGTTGCTTTTATGACTTGACGTCTGCGAACCTTGAAACGAAGCTACCAACTACAGAAAAAAAAAACCGGAGACGATCGATACCTATCGCTAGATACGGGTACGACGAATCCAAAGACTCGGGATAGGCGCAACTGCACGACCCTTCCGGCTGCAACAATATCTCGCTTATCCCGAAAGTCAAGTTCGACCATTTCCTCCCGATGGAAATCATCTCCGAGTAGATACCTTGCAGTTGGAGCGAGAGAAGAGGATAGTAACGGATTTTTTTCTGGGTGTAGTAACCCTTGTCGGGACTTGTTTCAGACACCTTGAAGGTGAGAGAAGCACTATCGACGTAAAACCCGATCTGAATTATGTGTCCAGACTGGTTTAAGAATTGTCTGTTGTCTAGATTTTCGTCCCATTGCGTTGGTAGGACCGACGAGACGTACGACCACGCCCACCCAGTCCACGTTTCCGTACTATTACCATTTTCTACCAAAACTGTTAATAAATTGTGACGTTACAATAAATAAATCGAACCTTTGTTTTCTTGGGACGCGGACGAATTATCCTGGATGTCGATACTCGATTTTAGTTGTTTTTGTTGCAGGGCTGATAGTAAGACTAGTAGGCGTAGGAACATAGGGACTTGTTGTTCAGTCATGCTGAATTCCATGCTACAATAACACAGTAGGTGAATAATGAAGATGACGTCACGCGTTTTCGCGCCACTTTTTCAAATACGACCAATCCCGATTCGTATTTTCATTAAATTCTTACCTGTTACAGTAAATATCCAAGCGAGTCAGTGACGTTTTATTTGACGTTGACGAGTTGTAAGTTCTTAATAAATGCATGGTCATGGAACAACGATACAACATGGGTTCTTGGTAGAAATCGATTTTTCCCGACGCGTTTCTTTTGTCTAAACATACCGTCAAATCGTTGACGCCTATCACTTTTCTCATGATAACGTGCGTTGGGGAGATGTCTATAAATAAATTCGTAAAACACAAAATTTGCTTGTTTATGTAATAGACCTGAGTAGGCGGATTCCCATTTCTCGTTGCACGACTCAACTTTTAAGTGTTTCACGTTCATGGATAAAACTATGTCTTCTTCCACATACTTGAGAATTAAATTGTTACAAATTATTTTTATGTTGCTTACTATTTTATTAATGAGTAATTGAACATAATTTGGAGGTGCTTCAACTTCATGTCTAAAAAAACACAGTTTTTTTTTTAAAGTAACTCATTCAGCATAGTTAAATTGTAATACCTGCTACTAGTATTTTTTTTGTGTTTATCTTTGCTAGGTGACGCGTCTGAGGCGACCCCATCATTTCCATCTTTTAACTTTAAAACACACTCTGAAGCATCAAAAATCACAAAAAATTCTCAAAATATATTCTTGTTTACCGATAGTGTTGATGGTGATTGTAATGGGTTCAGAGGTGAGTTTGGTCCACGGCACGTGAATCAAAAGTTCCCTGATATGCCCAGAAATAAAACTAAACGGCGACTGTAGCTCCTGCTCGAGCACTTCTAATCTTAAATCTAGATTGTGAAAAGATGCGTCACCGCCCCATAACGAAACCTAAAACACGTTGTCAGTGTTTTCCCCGCACTTACATAACTTTACTCGCTTGTGAATCTTCCAAACGAAAATTTTTAATGTACTTATCCACGTAACTTAGCAAAATTGGTGCTATATACGATTCTAACTTGAACATTATCAGCCAATACTTGTCACCTACAATAAAAAAGCGACATGAATAAATACGTGCACGCGTAAGTCTGGAAGTTCACCCACCGTCACTCTTCTTTTTTCGGGTACATCATGCAACGCAAAGTCTGAATAAAATGATTAGATTTTATTTAAAAAGAATAGAAAAAAGGCGAAACGTCAGACGAAACAAAATTCTGACGTTTGCGTGTTTTCCCACGTCATGTTGGTAGTGGCAATCGTCACACTTCACGCAACCAATCACGACGCAGGTTTTGTCGTTCGTCACGCCAAAACACCAGTAGCGCCAACCACGCCAAAAGAAACAAAATACAAATCGCTTGATGTTTGAGGTTAGGTGTTAGACTTCACGTGTGCTGTAGATTAACAATGAAGAAAAATAATAAGCGTCGTCATGCCGAGATCGCGTCTGAAGAGAATAAAGCACCAGGACCGCTACCCGCCGTGCGACATTCAGACGAACCCGTCGCTAAAAAGGTGACTATAATATTTTCTCGTGTTCCTTCTGCACCACGTTTTTAGACGAAATGGACCAACAAACAACGCGTTCTGGTGTTCTGTTCCCGCGGAATCAACTATCGAGACCGGCACTTAATGGAAGATTTGAAAAAACTGATGCCGCACCACAAACCTGAGTCAAAAGTGGAACGCAGTAAAAGTTTAACTGTCGTGAACGAGATGTGTGAAATGAAGAATTGTAACAAAGCTGTGATGTTCGAGGGGCGCAAGAAAATGGATCTGTATTTGTGGCTGGCGAACGTCCCAAACGGACCTAGTGTAAAGTTCCTTGTAGAAAACGGTTTGTTGTTGATTTTTGGGTGTCCCAGTTTTACTGTGTGTTAATTTCAGTGTACACAATGAGTGAGCTCAAACTCACTGGTAACTGCTTGAGGGGCTCCCGGCCGCTTCTCAGCTTTGACCCCACATTCAAAGAAAAACCCCATTTCTTGCTCCTCAAAGAACTGCTAACCCAAATCTTCGGTGTCCCTAACCACCACCCAAAAAGCCAACCCTTTTTTGACCACGTTTACACTTTCACGATCTTGGACAACAGGATATGGTTCAGGAATTTCCAGATTTTGTCAGAAGACGGCGCTTTAGCTGAAGTGGGGCCCAGATTTGTCTTGAATCCTGTATGTATTGTAATTGCAAAGTGTGCAAAAATTGAGTGTTTTCGTAGGTTAAGATTTTTTCGGGGAGCTTTGGTGGCGCCGCGCTGTGGGAAAATCCGTTTTATGTGAGCCCCGCCAAATACAGGCAGCAGATTCGCCTGGCGGCGAAAAACAAGTATCTGAATCGCGTGCAGCAAAAAGCCCACGCTAGCACCGCCAATTCCGGGGACGGGTACAAGATGACGCCACTGGATGACATTTTCCAGGGCGACCCGCTGAAAAAGGCGCAGGAAATCGAAAGTAAGGAAAAGGAGGAAAAGCAGACAAATGGTGTGAAAGCAAAAGCGACGAGGAAGAGGTTGCCTAGAAAGAAAAAGTAATTTTGTAAAAAATTTATAAATATTTTATCAAAACCGAGTCTTGTAACCACGCCCACTCCGCCCATTTTCGTGTTGATCACGGGTTTTCAGCCAATCAATCTCGAGTATACGCGATAATGGTAAACACCCAACAAATTCCATTAAAAAAAGACAAGGCAAGTTCTAACAGTTATATTTCTATTAAAATGTAAACATTACAGTGTTATCCTTTTCCGGTATATAAAAATATCTGCGTCGAGGAATAGACCAATAAATACCATTAAATACTGCTACTCAAAAAATCACAACCTTGTTCCCAATGTTAAAACTGTAAAACAACTGAGTCGCATTCTTAAAAACAACAGCAATCTTTGTGTTATTGTCGTTAATAAGTGCCTAATACTACGTTGTGGAAGTGCGCTTAAAGTACGGTTTGTTTTTAATAGACGGACATCGACGTGTACATTCTTACGATTGTAAACAGGTATATAATATCAATATAAACGTTAAAGCTCACAGTTAAAATTACAACAACCACTTAAACCTCGTATATCTACTTAATCGGTTCTAGTTCAGTAGGCTGCGGATTAGCATTATTAACGCTCCTTTGAACTCCCAAATTCTCCATCTGGATACCCTCAACGCTTTCGCCGTTTTGACAAATGCACAAGTATACAGTATCCAACACCATCTAGACACGAAAACAATTAAAATCGTTACAACTTTCCAAAAATACTAACCTCGTATAGCGAAAGTATACAGTGTGCGACAAAGAAAGCGAATATGCAAACGATTAAAGTTGGGGCTGCATAAAACTCCAGTTCCGGGTTTCTTCTAAAGATGTAGAGTCCCACACACCCCGTGAGCACAGTTATTAAACATTTACCCAAAAATAGGATAAAATCGCCTAAGCTGTTGATAGTTGCCACTTGTAGCGCATGCTCTGTTAAGACTTGGAAGGCCTGCAGACACGCCTTGAAACAAAAAACGTGACTTAAGTCTCACTTACCGTTCCCGCTGCTTTACAAAAATTAACGCCATCTATCGCTATAACAGTGTAAGCGTTGTGGTTTAAGTACCGTATGAACTTTTCTAAGCAATAAAAACAACAAATGCAACATTTGAGACAACAGGAGGCGCATTCGCTACCCTTGTCGGAGTTGTACTTAAGCCTGAAACGACCAATGATTACACGATCTCACTTTAAGTACAGTTTTACTTTTCGTGTAAATACATCAAGATCAGTCTTGGTATTTTGAAAATGGTGATGAGCAGAGACCCGATAGCGACCGAACCCAGATGGTACTTGATTAGTTTGCAAATGGAGTACGAAACGTGGGAGTTATCTTTGTATTTGTGGCGGTAGAACCAATGGGCTACGGCTCCCGCGATTACCATTTGCTGGCAACCCATGATAAACTCGCATGTCCAGATTAACCCAATGAAATAAACCCACCACATGTATTTCACCCAAGTCGGATCTGTGAATTCGAAGACCGTCATTTCTGCAACGATGTTACTTTTTTTTGGTAATTTCAAAAACGTGATAGTTACTTTGTACCACTTTTTCTGACAGGGAGATGTCGCGCAGTTTGGGTACAGGTTCGGTGTTACTGACGGGTGTGGTAAACGACGATTCGTTGTAAATACGCAGGTTGATGGGGGAAGTGCTGGGGTAGTAGGCGGTGGCTAAGCACAGCTACAAAAATGTGTAATTTTTTGGGGGTTGTTTTTAAGTTACGTACCACAACGAAAATCCAGAACATGAGAAATGCAAGCAGAAATAGAAACGTTAAAATCGGCTGAAAAAAGAGACCGGGGAGGTGTAGCAGACACTTGGAAGTTTCCTTAAATAAGTCGGCGAGAAAACTGACTTGTTTTCTCATTACTATGACGAGTAATAAAATTATGACCTAGAAGAAATAAATGAGGACACAATTGTGCGACGTTTTTTTCTTACTGTAATAACGGTGGCTACGATTGAATACCATAAAAACGCCCTCTCGTTGCGCACGGACTCCAAAAGCATCAAATTCTGATTGGTTTTGTCTAAATTATTCTTAATGTCGAAATACGTATACCAGAGAAACGCAGTCCCCAAAATACTAGCAACGGTGAATAAAATCATAATTATGTAAGAAACTAGATGCGCCAACAAATGTAAAATCGAAATTGTCACTAATGATAATACTGAAACAAAAATTGTGATTGTTGTTGAATATTTAGGCCGCTTATTACATCTGGCAACACCGAAAATTATTAAGTTAGTAGAAACATAATTGTGCTGACGTCACGTCTTTCGCGCCAATTTTAACCTCTGTTTAAGCACGTTTTCAGTGTTGCCAATAATGCAAACTCCACACTTACACAAAGCTAAGAACGTCAAATACAAAATCTCCCTCCACGTGATATAAATATCGCTAAGAATCTGTTCCAAAGTGTCCCAACTATTAAGCAAATCATAAAAGTTGTTCAAAACGCCCTCTGCCAAATCTTGGAAGGATTGTGGAACACAGCGATTCAAAACAGGTTTGCTTAAAACACTCCCTTGATAAAAAAAAACCCAAATTTGTTAACTTACCTCTCATAAATTGGAAGTGCCGGACACGGTCCTATGTAACTACTGAAAATATTTTTCGGAATGCTCCTATTATTAAAATCATTGTAATTAAAATCATATCTGCACAAATTCACCCCTGTTTTTTGATAATACTTCCTGATATCATCCACCTCTCTCAGCGTCTCTCTAGGACACTCTTTCACGCATATCTTCAGCGACTGTTTCAGCTCTTTAATATCATAAAACAATAAGTACGGTTTATCAGAAGTGTCAATCCCTGACAGCTCCAAGTTGCTCCTGTTTTTATTGTGCTTCGTCCCGCAAGTGTTCCCGAATGAGTCATATCCATTTATAATTCTAATCGGGTTCCCGTACACGAAAGAGAACGCAGCAATTAAAATCTACAAAGCCTACAATTACACAATTATCCAGCATCAAGGTTACTCACCATCAACAACCAAAAGGCGACGTACACGCACAACCAGAATACGTCAGTGCAGCCCCTTTGCTTGTTCTCCTCGCCCTCTTCTTCTTTCCTCGACTCACAACACCCCATTTTGAAACCTCCACTTCTTCGTCGTTATACTTTCAACATGTTATCTTTGTAATCACGATTGTTTTGGGGGCGGCGGCTTTGACGCGGTATCTTAGCAACAACAACATTGACATTTATGCAACCGGACGTACGCGCGTTGGCATATCGCCAGGTCGAGCAACGCAAAGTCGACGAAGCCACTAGGTGGATAACCGTGGGACTGTGGTGGGGTGGTGATCTTGACTTGTCGCTAAGTTGGTAGGTCGCGGAGTGTTGACACATGACATTTGGGTGTCTATTTTGTCCATCGTTGTTACAAAACGATGAAGTTGTAAGATGATGGGCGATCAGTTTCGTAAAGTGGAACAATATTCGCCGAAATCGTCTCCTAGAGGGGCTCGCTCCCCTGTCGTCTCACGTCAAGATTCATCCGGAACATTAAAAACGACGATTCTGTTAGGAAAAAACCCTTCCATAGTCCCTAGCGGGCCTTTCTATTTGATGAAAGAGCCACCAGGTATGTGGTGTGTTTTTTGCTTAAAAGTAACACAGTTGTGGTCGGAAATGGATGCATTCGCCACAGTTTGTGGCTGTCTTGGTACTAGAGGGGTCTAAACTGTTTCTGCTTTTGTAGCTGAGTCGGAATTAACGGGCGCCACAAATTTAATGGCCTATTATGGTCTCGAACACTCATACAGTAAATTCAGCGGGAAGAAGCTAAAAGAACAGTTGTCTTCGTTTTTGCCAACCCTACCTGGCGTCATCGACTCTCCTGGTCAACAGGACAACAGCTCATTACGATCAGTCATAGAAAAACCTCCCATCGGAGGAAAGGAGTTGCTGCCACTTACCAGTATCCAGTTGGATGGTTTCAGACTCCATCCAGGAGCGGTACGTCTCCAGTTGTGGTCAAGACGTCTACTAACGTTTTTGTTTTCAGTTACCCGAGCAGTATAGATACGCGAATGCCACCCCCATCAAGAAACACAAAAACAAACACAAGAAACACAAACATAAAGAAGGAGGACTCCCAAATCAAGAAACAACGGTGACAGACGCCGGGAGTGACACCCACGAGAAGAAACACAAGAAGCAGAAGAGACACGACGAAGATAAGGAAAGAAAGAAACGGAAAAAAGAAAAGAAGAGGAAAAAGCAGAAGCACAGTCCAGAACACAGTGGGGGCCTAACACCAAGCCAACATTCGAACTCCTGAGTACCTTACATAGATTCTATTCGAGTGGATTGAATAATTCCAACATAACCTAATTTTAAGATCTATTATTTATTATTATTTGCGAATAAATACTTATTTTTATGAATACAAACGCAACATATTCACAAATCCTGAGGACAAAAGCAAACTCCCCGCTTTTATCGCAGAGGGCGCTGGCGCTTTTCCAGGAACAACCCTGGTAACAAATGCGGCATAATGTTGGTGCGCCTGCGCGTTGGTGGCAACCCGGCAGCCATCTTGCGGCTTGTGCGTCCTTTCATTGCGTTGTTGGCATCATAAGATAAACGTTATCGGCGTTATGGGTGACAGTAAGTTTAATTTTTTTCTCAAACATCCTTCACTTCTTTTATTCGTAGTCCCTTTAGATTAGTACAGCGTGGCGAAATTTTACCGGCGCGGTTAAAATTTTTTTGCTCTGTTGGTTATTTACTAATATTTCAGGATCAAACTTCAGCGATTATTCGCAGCCGCCCCCAAGCACGGCGTACCCTAACACGTACGGGGCACCAGCGTCGGCCGGCTATGGTTCTCAAGGTGGCGGCGGCGGCGGTGGCGGCACCGGAAGCGGAGGTGGCTCGTGGAACCAAAACCGCAATTCGGGGGGCGGCTATGGCGGCAATCAAGGTACGCAATTTAGATTTTAAGAATTGGCGTGTTTTATGCAAGCGAGGGGGAGCGGTATCTCGTGAAAGTGGACCGCCCCAAAATCAGAAAATAAGATTTGGCGGGCCGGTTTTTAACAATTTTATTGGACTTCACGCTAAATGGTTTGTGTTTTGTGGGACAGTAAAAGCGTTTGTTTGTACTCTTGGGATATAAAAACTCTGAAAAATTATGTTATGTAACTGGGTGTTTATTTTGCATCTATAATTTGTGTCGCATAATTCACATTTTGAAACGACATAGGCATGGTTCAAGCCCCCTATGAGCTTGTTAACCTCCTACTATGTCGCATATTAGCGGGGATTGATAGTCCCTTCTTTTTCTAAATATTGGAAGGGGTAGAAATTCGCCTGCACATTTTTTAATGACCATGATTTTGGAAGCCAAAGTAACGCGATTGTTTGAGTCACGTTACCAGTTCTCTGATTGGTTACAGGCGGCGGCGGCGGCGGTGGCTACAACCAAGGGGGTGGTTATAGTTCGGGTGGTAGCGGCGGCGGTTATGGAAACAGTGGCGGTTACAGTAGCGGCGGCGGTGGAGGATACGGAGGTAATTATAATTTTCTTCTAAAAATACAATTGCTGAATGTTCGTGTGTTGAATTAGGTGGCCGAGATCGCAGTGATTATGATAAAAGAGGTGGTTTAGATCGGCGTGATTCATATGGGTAAGTTACCATTTTTTGGTTTTTGTTACGTTTCAAAAAGGATGGGAGGTTTCAATAGTAAAAAAAAAGAATGAATGGTAGTCATTGTGGTCAAAAATGTGAACCTATTAATATTGGTGTTACCAAAAAAAAAAAAAAAGAGCGAATGGTATATTGTGTCCAAAACTGTATTAATATCAGTTTGCTTGCAGAGTTTATATTGTGTAAGTATATTGTATTATACACGTCTGTGTTTGTTGTTGTGGCCCAAAAACGGGCGTAAATTCATTTTTTCTTTTCAAAGAGTAAAGATTGGTTTTTGAAAAATGTAGTATGGTATAACTTGTGGTTTGTACTGTTCAAAAGGTGTTCTGGTTAATGCCAAAGGTTTAACGTTGAAACAGTGGTTAACTGGTATTGGTTGTAATAATTGCTGGTATTTTTGTTTGTTCTGTTGTAACAAAGGTATAATGAAGTGTTTGAGAGTTTAAAAGTAAGGTAAACATCGTACATAGACGTGACAGCAACTAGAAATAGGTGATCTTCGTGGATGAAGAAACTTAAGACAATGTGTATGTGATGCCAACTATGGTTGGTGAAGTGTGTATATCACCCCTCCTCCATTCACTCGACAACTACTGATGTTTTACTTCTGTTTTAGAGGCGGCAACAGGGGTGGTTATAACAAAGGTAACGGCACTGAGTCAGTACGACCAGTGCATTTTTGTACACTTTTTAATTGGTATTTTTATTGGTTGTTGAAGAGCTGTTCCTTTCATTACACGTTTAAATTGCAATTTGAATTTCTCTCTTTCGATCATTTAGTTTTCATTATACTTAGATGATTTTTTGCATTAGTCCGCGTCAATAGTGAATACTAAATAATCGAAAATGTAACAGCTCTTCTAGTTTTCACCTGCGATTGTTAGGATTGCGCTCTTACTAATTTATTGTCGCGTTTGAAATTAGTTGTAGCGTTAACACCGTAAAACATAATTTTTTATTAGCATATTTTAAATTCGTCCGCACAGTTTTTTTTTAATATTTAAACGACGTGGGATATTTTTAGATTTTGTTTTCCTGCGACATGTAAATTCTCGCCCCGTGATTTTTTTTTGTCTTGTTTTTAATGCATGTTTTTTAATGATTCCATTGGTGAAATACTTGCGAAGATGTTTATATACTTCAGAAACACTGGATAAGTACATAGGTTTCTTGTTACAATAAAATTGTTACATAAGAACTAACAAATGGGTGAAATCTTCCGAAATGTTGCATCCTGAATGTCCACGGAATAAATCGTCCATTGTTCGTTTTATAATAAATACACACCCGGCAGTGACCATAGCTGTTCCTGTTTGGTTTATATTGGTATCAAAATTGGTGATTATACGTAATTTTGATGATTTATGAATAAATTTTGTCAAATTATATCACCAATCGTCACACGTGTAAGCAAAAATTGGATATTTATAAAAGAATATTAATTTTCAGTGTCATCGATTTATTTAGAAAGTCGGACATAAAAGATAAGACGCACCAATGACACTATATGTTCAACATACTTTCTTAAGTAATGGTTGCCAGTTGTGAGTTTGTTGCATCATGGTGGTCACCCAGTTCAATCTGGGACGAATATTTCAGTTTAAAAAATCCCATGATTTAATTTCTTTCGTTGGACCTTGAATATCACAATATAAATGAGTCACGTGATCAATAATATATTGGATAGTGGTGTTTAATACTAATGTTAATGTGACAGTTTGTACTAATTGGGTTATATTTGATCGGATATTTTAAATAAATTAAAGTCAATGTGCTTTAAGTACTTGGACTTGGTTGTTACTCTTAATTGTCGTCTTTTCTAGCTTATTATCGTTTATTCGTTGTTTATAGTTTTGTAATGCATTATAGAGCGCATTAACAAACATTGATTAAAGACCCATTTATTCACCGTATGTATCGGTGTCGCGCATTTTTACTTATTGGTATGAAATAGTTGGTTACTATTCTATGCGAACAATTGCATTGTTCATGAATATGAATTGCGAAAAAAGGTTCTGCTCGAGAGTTTTTCACAATTTATAGACTTTGTACCAGAATTAATGTAGTTGTGGTTATTACTTGACGGTGCAAAAGGTATGCACTGAATTAGTACATGCTGTGATCTGGCATTGACTTAACTTTTAATGCAACTCTACATTGGGTAAACTCAATCAAAAATGAAAACTTTCTACAGTTGAGTAGACGTGGTGTATATAAAATGTTTTGGATATTAAAATCTGGATGTTACACAAGTGTACACCTTTACTGCGTCATGTGTGGAGTAATTAAACGGTTTAACATCTGCAGAGTGTACGTAAAACAAAGAACGAACAAATACGATGTGCGCAAATCAAATTAACAGAAGTGTGTTATGAGGTTACTTTAAGCGCTATTTCACTAAAACTACTCAAACTTTTTCTAACAGTTTTATCGTTGATTTACAGATAATGGAAGCAGTGGTGGTAACCTCGTCGTTCAAGTTGACACGATTTTCGTGTCTGGGATGAATCCAAACCTGACAGAAGACGAAATCGCTCAACATTTCGGATCGATTGGTGTTATCAAAGTAAGATTTTATTCGAAACGAATTTCATTAGCGCGGCCAGCACTCTGTGCTTGGATCTCCTCTGTGACCAAGTTCAATTTGAAACGCCGCAATATAGTCTCACAAATCCTATTCCTTGTTTGCAAGAAACATTTGCAACCAAGTGTATTCAATTTGTTACAATTCAAAACCAAAAAGTCGATTTTCCCTAATCGAGTTTTTCGTTTCCGTTAGATGGATAAGAAGACGCAGAAGCGTAAAATTTGGTTGTACAAGGACAAACAAACAGGGTTATCTAAGGGCGAAGCTACAGTGACCTACGACGATGCAAATGCTGCTCAATCCGCCATCTCGTGGTTCGACGGCAAGGAGTTCGGCGGGACCCAAATCCGAGTACAATTGGCCACGAAAAAGGATAATTGGAGTAGCAGTCGCGGAGGCGGAGGCGGCGGCAGAGGCCGCGGGGGAGGCGGATTCGGCGGCCCCAGAGGCAGAGACGGCGGTGAGTAACCCGAAATTTTGCGGCCCCCTTCCGACCTCAGAGTCGCTTCGTAGCGACATCTGATTTTAAACAGGGGAAGAGAAAACTCCCCATTAAACGCATGGCATGCAATTTCGTTGCTGTTGATGTAACCTGTCTAGGGAGACATATATTAACTTACTTAATTGTGACAGAATTGTGACACGTTGTTTTGTTTGTGCAGGATATGGAGGCGGCGGCGGTGGTGGCGGCGGCGGCGGAGGTGGTGGTGGCGGCGGCGGCCGGGACCGCGAAAGCCGCGAGGGCGACTGGAAGTGCCCGAACCCCGACTGCGGCAACACCAATTTCGCCTGGAGGAACCAGTGCAATAGGTGTAGCGAAGAAAAACCAGAAGGTGCGGGTTCGGGAGGCGAAGATAGACGAGGAGGTCGCGATGGGCGCGACGGGGGTAGAGATCGAAGAGGCGGTGGTGGGTTTAGAGGCGGCGATAGAGGCGATCGAGGCGGTCGCGGTGGTTTTGGAGGCGGCAGAGGACGTGGAGGCGGCGGTTTTGGAGGTGGTCGCGGAAGGTGATTAATCGTTTGACGGTTGCGAGTTTTTGGTTATTTTGGTTTTGTTTCAGGGATCGCGGAGGCCGCGACGGAGGACGATCCAGACCCTATTAAGCCATTTTAGATTAGAATGTATATGTTTTATTTTTTAGCACTTCGTTTTTTACTATTCGATGTAGGATTTAATTTTGTATCGGGAAAGAGTGTGTAAAGATTTAGTTTAGCGTAAAATGCGGCACTTTTTAGTGAGGAATTCGTTTATAATAAATTTTTGAATTATGTATTATTTTTTTTTATGGATGGGTGTGAGGGGAAGTGTAGTGAAATGGCAAGGTTGGAGAGATATAGGCCTGCTTTATAAAATATTTTAATGCAAATGAAGCTAATTAAGTCTTTGGTGACATCTGATTGGTGTAGTTTGTGTCACATGGTAGTCGAGGCCGCATTAAAAAATAATGTAATTACGTATTTAATTAAGCTCCAGATCAACTTGTGACAAATAGAACAAAAAAGTAGTGTATAAATTAGGTCAAAAGAAACAACATTTTTTTACCATTTCTCAAAAAAAAACCAATTACTAAGTAAATTATTTAAAATAAATTGCGTCAGCAGTAAGTTTTATATGTTACGGTAAGTAAACAATTTTATTAACAATTGCGTTTGGGGCGGTGCGTGAAATTGAAGTTCGAGTGTTGAGCGAGTGCTAGATACGTCTACGGAGAACAAAACCCCGTGTCACCCCAAATCTATTTTTGTAAGTTTTAACGGACGATTTATCTTTTGTATTAATACACTTTTATCTATAATTGAATTTGTTTTGTTTTTTTATGAGATAGATGATAAATGATGTAATAATAAACTTTGATAATTTTGATACATTTATAAATTTCATATGAAAAACCAACGGTAAATTACATTTATGAACCTAAAATTTTTTTTCGCAGGGTTGAAATAAGTATACAGGTAAGTGTGCCATTCTGTAGAGGATTTGAATAATTCTGTGGAATAATTATGTTATAAAATAGGTCCGTATTAAGGACATTTATCTTTTGGGAGTCAACAGTTATAGAAAACTATATAAAACTACTCAAACGTTAATCGTCAGGTCAAAGGTATTGATTTCCTCTCGAGGTAAATACAAAACAATCAAAAGATTAAATCAATTTTTTTTTACGTTTGATTTGTTAAGTACAATGACATTCTCAAGTACAAATTTTAACACCTCTGTGGTAGATACTAGTTACTTGTTTATGCTATACTTATCGTTGATAGTGTAGGTATCTATAAACAAGTACAAATTTTTTCAGATAAGTGTAACAGAATAAGCAAAAAATTGTCAAAACGAATATCTAATAGAATTTCGATAAAACTCGCAAGCGACCATGACCCGGGCACTTAAATTTGTTTGTTATCAGCATTAAAAATATTATTTTTCGGTTTCGCTCAAAGAACTTTCTGGGAGTTTCTGGAGCAGATAGTTTATCCCTCATGAAACTAAGCATTTTTTGACTTTTCTAGTAGTTTCGAGGAACTGGAAAGTTTACTTACATTATTGTTATTTAATCGCAAAGATAGAATTGTATTTCAATTGGAATGATTGACGCTCATGGAGTTATAGGAGTCTAAAGTACTGTTTAACAAACAAATATTACTTACAAGTAGTATCTTATCTTATTTTTTAGGTACATGCGTAATTTATCAAAAATATTGCTTTTCGGAATGAATCGCGTTTTCACAAAAATTTCGCGTTTAACAAATTAAATAGAGGAATTTAAATAACAAAAAACAACTTCTTAGTCACTCGCTTAAAAATATAACATAACGTGACACTTTTTTATCAGTTGAACCAAATTTTAATTGAAACAGAATGACATTGATCTATATATTGATGTGTTATATGTATATAATATAAATATATATGTACAGTTGTACATTATATAATATGTTATAATAAAGTCGCAAATCTGAATGATTAGTGATTTTATTCGCCAAAGGTCGATTGAAAAATCCAAGCCGACCAATCAAAACCGGAGAGATAGCGTAACAAAATTATCTATAATAATAAAATATAACCATTCCGCAATCAGAAAACGCACAAAACACACTTCACGTGCTGTTTGTAGTAGGTATTATCCACCCAAGATCATCAAAATGCCATCGTAAGTATTTCATATTTTCATTTCCAACCCTCAGTTAACATTTTCGAAGGAATCAACCGCAACAAGACATCGGCACCCTCCTAGTCCAAGTCACACAGGTCACTGCAGACGTGATAGTCGTACTTCTGCAAATACTATACTCCATAGTACTAAGTCTAGGACGCCTGGTAATACAAAAGCAACCCAAATCCGTCCGAGGCGAAATCGTCTTGGTAAGTATCTAATAAACTCCCAAAAACCACACAACCAACGAAAAATCAAGATCACAGGTGCTGGACATGGAATGGGCAAAGAGTTGTCTTTGTTGTACGCTTCAGAGGGGGCGACTGTAGTAGCCTGGGACATCAGCGAGAAGACCGGCCTGCAAACTGTTAAAGAAATCGCGCAGAAGGGTTACCCCAAAGCTCACTTCTTCAAGTACGTACTATGAGTGGTAATAGTTCTTTCGATGACGGTGCTTTTGCAGATGCGACGTGTCGAACCGAGACGAAGTCCTCCGGGTCGCCAAAGAAACCCAAGACAAAGTCGGAGACGTGACTATTTTGTTCAACAATGCGGGGATTATGCCCACCCACCCTTTCCTTGAACACACGAAGGACGAAGTGGAAAGGATAATGAACATCAACGTCATGGCGCACTTTTGGGTTAGTGTGGGTGCTGGACTTGAATTTTTGTTGATGATTTTTTTTCAGACTCTGGAGGCTTTTCTTCCTGTTATGAAGAAACAAAATTATGGACATGTGGTGACGCTGTCTTCGTGCGCCGGTTTGCTTGGAATTCCGAATTTGGTTCCGTATTGTTGTTCGAAGTTTGCTGTTAGGGGTATGATGGAAGCTTTATACCAAGAGTTTAGGCAAGACAAGAAGAACGAAGTTAAGTTTACTACGATTTGTCCCTATATGGTGGATACGGGGTTGTGCAAGAAGCCTGTGATTAGGTTTGAAAATGCCATGAAGCTTGTTGACCCTCTAGACGCGGCTAGGGAGATCATGAATGCACAACGTTTGGAGCTCAGGGAAATTACCATTCCTCGATATCTGTATTATTGGCAGTTTGTTCTTAGAATGCTTCCTGAGAAAGCTCAGGGTTATATTGGAGACTTTCTCTCAGTTGGATTGGAGTCAGACTTATCCTAAAAAGGTTGTAAGCGTTTGCTAATTTTATCAATATCACTATGAAATAAAGATTGAACCGACAAACAATGAGTCATTAAAAATCCTTTTTAAAAACACACAAGTGATAACAAAAGTCAAGGAGATAACGTGATCGTGATGGCTTCTGACTGCTATTAGTATACATCAGGATAATATTAATATCACTATCGTTAGAAAATATTTTAAAAAAACCTCACCGCGACAATGTAGCTGATAGTTTTCAACTTCTTGTAACCTTTTATCAGTAACGATGTCTGTTTTGTATACTCTTTGTATTTATTCTGTCTCGTTGTGTCCGTGCTCTCGTGTTTTTGCTTGCAATGTCTTCTACAAACAACACCAGCGTGTAATTAACCATCACCTCTTTCCGTAATCACGACTCACGTGCTTTTTTAGTGAACGCAAGAAACCAATCGAAAAAGAGTTCAAAATACGAAATGCTCCCTTGACCGATCGGTTCGAAAACAGCGAAGACATCAAAACCATTTACAACTTGTTTGCGATCATCCTTATCAGTTTATTGACAAACACGGTCATTCACGATTACACAAAAACCGGACAGTGAGTACCCAAAAGCAATCCGACTTTGATAAGTGGTGTTTTCAGATTTCACTTCGGATTTAGATTAATCGAGCGAGGTTTTAATAAATTCCACTTAGTTATCGTGGTTTGGGTTTTATTTAACCTTCTAGCCTTTTCGTCGTACTTTTGTTTCACCTTCTGGGCGAACGTGAGAGTGCTGTTGAAACCGAGAAGTAAGTTTTAGGGTTTGTTGGTTAACACTAAACAAGTCTTGCAGCGGCGAAATTTTGGGACAAAATATGGAGCGGCATTTTGGTGTTTTATTGTTGTTTTTCGTTATATGGGCTTCAGGAGGTCGTGAAAATGATGGATTTTGCGCCAGGGTCGGCGACGGTTGTGTTTCTTGAAGAGGTAGTGTTTCGAAACGGGTTACCTTGATGTTTATTTTTGTTTCCGCAGGTGAGGCTTTTGATGAAGGAGTATGCGTTTATTCGGAGTAATGCGCCAAGGGTTGTTAGTTACAAAGCGCACAGTGAGAAGGTGTTAAGGGTACCACCATGTGAGAAATTTGTTTATTTTCTGTTTGCCCCTACAATGGTGTACAAGGACGACTATCCGAGAACCGCACGCGTTCGTTGGAATTTTGTTTTCTACAACTTTGGAGAAGTACTTGGGATTATATGGCTCTTGAGTTTGGTTGTGGAAAGGTTTCTGGTACCACCGTTCGAAGATATTTGTTTACGGAAGTTCACGACGAGCGAAATCCTGGTTCCTGTAGTGGCGAATTCCTTTCCAGGGATTCTCTTCATGCTCTGTGGTTTCTACTCCGTTTTGCATTCGTTTCAAAATGCTTTTGCCGAGATGCTGCGGTTCGGAGATCGCTTGTTTTACAAAGTGGGTACACAGTTTTGTAAAATTTATTGTTTTTAATGGTTTGTTTTAGGAGTGGTGGACCTCCAGGTCACTGTCGGAGTACTACCGCACCTGGAACGTCCTAGTGCACGACTGGCTTTTCACCTACATTTACAAAGACTTCTACCACACCATTGTCCCCAAGAACAAAGTCGTCGCGAAACTGGCGGTTTTTCTAATCTCTGCGCTCTTCCACGAGTGGATCCTCACCAACGTCCTACGTCTGTTCTTTCCAGTTCAGTTCATCCAGTTCTTCATAGCGGGGGCAGTGTTGGCTCTGCTCAACATCCTTGATCTCCCTGTGGGCAACCTGGTGGTCTGGTACCTCATCGTGTTCGGGTCTGGTATGCAAGTCAATTTATACACACTCGAGATCTTCGCCCGCGAAAACTGCCCCTTCGAGCCGAACAACAACTTCCTGGACTTCTTCAAACCGAGGTTCATTACCTGTGGTTGTGTTCAGTGAATGTGAAATTTTTGTACGAATTTTATAATTAAATTTCAAACATAAATGAATGTCTGTTAATTTTCTGCTAGGGTAGGCAACCAATAAAACGCGTTTGTATTGACAATTCGAGTAGGCAACCAGTAAAACGCGTCTGCGTTTCCACGTGGAAAGTGCCGCTCGATTTTCGGCGACCTCCTCGCACTTCTGTGTTCCTGGTAGCGGAGAGCGTTTTGAAAGTCCGTTTGACGACGTTGTCGGGATATCGAGCGTGTGTGATAGGGGGGGGACGGCGCTGCGGCGTTTTTCCTCCTTTTTTAAATTTTCTCTTTCTACGGTGACCAGAGGGTCAATTTAATGGTCAAAGCACTGTCGGTCTCTCTCGGACACGCTACTTTTAAAGAGATAGCCGATGTCCGGTCTCAAACGGACTCGATTAAATTCCCTCGCTCGTTTTCAAATAGAAAACGTGTTTTGTGAGTGGATGTGGGGGAAAAACGGAACGGTTTAGGGCGGAAATTGATTTATTTAGAGGGGGTGGCGGTGGAGAGAAACAAATGAAATTGTTGATGTGTCAAGGTTGTGACGTGTTATTTTTTAATAGGTAACCTTGAAATTCATTAAGAAAATGTGTGGAAAAAATTATGTAAAAAAGATTGCTTGACGATGTGAATACATTTTAAAATTTTTGATGGTGGTCAAAAAAAAACAGGACCGTATTTAGAATACATTTTGTATAAACAAATCAGAAACGTAAGGACGTCATCAAGTTTTTGGAAGAGTTGAACTGATGAATTCTGATTGGCTATGTATTATTTATTGTTTATGATAATCATGTTTTGTAACACATAGTATTTATCTGGTTTTTTGATATAAAATAAATACTGGTTAAGATATTCTCATGAATGAAATTTGACCCTACATGATCTTTTCTAAGAAATTTACTGAGTATTTTCGCCTCATTAAAGATATCATTCTCGTGTCGCTATTGGCCACATTTTTAGTTTCTTTGTTTTGTGAAGCCCGTCTGATTTTCTCGTTTTCGCCTCAGCCAATCCGCTGCGACTCCCTCCAGTTATTAAGCATTAAAATATGTACACACCTACCGCTATATCCGTCACTCTCCACACTTCTTCGCGTTTATGATGCCTTGTGAGTTAAGCCCTCTTAGTTATGAATTATGAGAAATAGTAATAACTCCAACATGGCTGACTAATATTTGCGGATGATTCCGACGCTTGATAAACAACAAACCCGCTTTTACAACACCCATTTTACCACAAATCCCAATTACCAAAAAACAAGCCACAAATTATTAATTACCCACTTTAATCCAAAACCCAAATCAATCACAAACAAAACAACAAAACCCAAAATGTATTTCATTTATTTGTTTATGTTTACGTAATTGTTTGTCATTGCGTATTTAATCGACCACAATTAAAAATGCACCCATTTTTGTCCAGCAACCCCGAAAAACTCTTCGCACGTCGGCACGTCATTTCTTATCGCTCCGACTTTACCATCAAAACCCATAAATTACAAATTTCCTTCAACAATTGCCACAATCAATCCGTCCAATCCGGCTGCTGCACTTTTACGGCTCACGTTGCGTCAAGTTATCAAAACAGAGCTCCACGTATCAGGAGAGTAGGAGTGGCGAGAGGTGGCGGATTTAACCAATCGCCGACCGGTCGTTGGCGCCACCTTCCCGCGTTGCTGCGATCCTGTTACCAAGACCGCCAATTTTGCGCCTAAACAGCTAGAGAATGCCGTGGAGGCCATTTTCACGCGCTTGTAGGAGGCGTTTCGAGAGGGCGCCACCAATCGCAGCGTCGCTTGGTATTCTACAGAGTTACATAAAGCGAAGGGTTTGGGGGAAGGGGGGCGGTTTAGGTTGCGGGGGTTTCTGGGGGCAGGTCGGGCGAAGCGGATAATCTACGAATAAATGAAAGTATTTTGCGTATTTTAGTGTGAGGGCGTACCGTTTTCGGATTAATAAAGCCACCCAAGCACCTATCGGCTGGAAAAGGTCTAAGTAGGTATGTAAACAATATTTTGGGGGTGGTTTGGTTTACCTCCAGGACGGAAAACACGAGGCAGATGTATCCGCCGGATTTGTGTAAGGGAGTGAGGGCATCTGAGTATGCTTGGGTACAAGAGGATTCAAAGATTTTTGTGCAAGTTCCATTGGTGTGTCTTTTCTGGCAACAACTCTCTGGGATCGTGTGGTAGTCTTTGGCACCGTGAACACCACAACATCGGAACTGCAATTTTTATCAAAGTTACAAGTGTTGATACAACATACGAAGTACATTTTTTTGAATGTCGGTGAAGGTTTTCCAGAAATTTGTGTCGTTTTTTAGGAATTTTTTTTCAAATTTTGCTTGCACCATCTGATTGACGCCGTCTCCTAGATGTAGTACTATAGCACTGAAGAGTGCCACACTTACTTGGACCACGAACAGGAGTAAGAGTAAAATAGCGTACTAGAAAAATTAGGTAGCACAAACTTTGACTCAGTGGGTGTTGTACCAGAAGCAAATAAGTCTTTATTTCTTTGTAGTTTACGTAGTAGCCGAAAAGACTCACCACGAGGAGTATTACTGCTGTACATATAATCCAGTTTTCAAAGGAGAAGTTGTAATTGTCTATGACCATGTAGCGCCGTTCTATGACCAGGAGTATGAGACCATAGACGAGAAGTCCAATGCCAGTGACCTAGAGATTTTTGTTACAGACCTGTGGAAAAGACATTCTACTCACGGTTAAGAAAATGTTACAAGTCAAAAGGAGGGATTTTGCAAATGCTGTGACCGGATCCATAGCCGAAACGTGGGGATTAAAAATTGAATTTGTCATTTTGGGTGTCAGTTTTCAAATTTGTTGATGTTAGTTCTGGTGTCTCGAAATGAAATTAAACAAATTGGTGGAAAGTTATTTCGACAGAACTTCCCTCGCTTCTGAAGACAGTCCAACAAATGGTGCTTGTAGGGAAAATAATAAAATTTGTTTGGGGGAATTTTACTTTTTCGTGATAACCTCTATGGAGTGAAAACAATATAAAAAATACTATAGTCACAGTGTAAACGTCGTTACGATTAATTGTCGTTAAACAAAGACTCCTATTTTTTCTTTAACTAAAACAGGTGTCTAGAAATTGTGAAAAAATTCAGGGACGTGGATCTCGACATGCTGATTCCAAAAATATGGCCACGGAGCAACATTTTCGAAAGAATCGGCACGAAATATGAATTTTTGGGAATTTCTAAAAATTTCGATATTTCAACGGCCGATTCTGGGAAAACGGTTGCAGTCATCAAAGAAACGAGAGCGGAAGTGAACTCTAGAGCTCGAAATCTACAAGAAAATGTATTTAGTGAAATTTCGAAAATTTTGTTGAAAATTGGTCGAAAATTGGGCAGATTTTGCATAGTCTAGAATATTTCAAAGGACGATTCTGGCAAAACCATTTGAGTTATCGAAGAAGTGAAAGCGGATATGACTTCTGCGGCCCGAAATCTACAAGAAAATGTATTTAGCGAAATTTCGAAAATTTTGTTGAAAATTGGTCGAAAATTGGGCGGATTTTGCATATTTTTCAATGTTTCAAAGGACGATTCTGGAAAAACCATTCGAGTTATCGAAGAAATGAAAGCGGATATGACTTCTGCGGCCCGAAATCTACAAGAAGATGTATTTAGTAAAATTTCGAAAATTTTGTTGAAAATTGATCGAAAATTGGGCGGATTTTGCATATTTTTCAATGTTTCAAAGGACGATTCTGTAAAAACCATTCGAGTTATCGCAGAAGTGAAAGCGGATATGTCTTCTGCAGCCCAAAATCTACAAGAAAATGTATTTATTAGTGAAATTTCGAAAATTTTGTTGAAAATTGATCGAAAATTGGGCGGATTTTGCATATTTTTCAATGTTTCAAAGCACGATTCTTGAAAAACCATTTGAGTCATCGAAGAAGTGAAAGCGGATATGACTTCTGCGGCCCAAAATCCACAAGAAAATGTAATTAGTGAAATTTCGAAAATTTTGTTGAAAATTGGTCGAAAATTGGGTGGATTTTGCATATTTTTGAAAATTTCAAAAGACGATTCTGCAAAAACCATTCGAGTTATCGAAGAAGTGAAAGCGGATATGACTTCTGCGGCCCGAAATCTACAAGAAAATATATTTAGTGAAATTTCGAAAATTTTGTTGAAAATTGGTCGAAAATTTGGCGGATTTTGCATATTTTTCAATGTTTCAAAGGACGATTCTGGAAAAACCATTCGAGTTATCGAAGAAGTGAAAGCGGATATGACTTCTGCGGCCCGAAATCTACAAGAAGATGTATTTAGTAAAATTTCGAAAATTTTGTTGAAAATTGATCGAAAATTGGGCGGATTTTGCATATTTTTCAATGTTTCAAAGGACGATTCTGTAAAAACCATTCGAGTTATCGCAGAAGTGAAAGCGGATATGTCTTCTGCAGCCCAAAATCTACAAGAAAATGTATTTATTAGTGAAATTTCGAAAATTTTGTTGAAAATTGATCGAAAATTGGGCGGATTTTGCATATTTTTCAATGTTTCAAAGCACGATTCTTGAAAAACCATTTGAGTCATCGAAGAAGTGAAAGCGGATATGACTTCTGCGGCCCAAAATCCACAAGAAAATGTAATTAGTGAAATTTCGAAAATTTTGTTGAAAATTGGTCGAAAATTGGGTGGATTTTGCATATTTTTGAAAATTTCAAAAGACGATTCTGCAAAAACCATTCGAGTTATCGAAGAAGTGAAAGCGGATATGACTTCTGCGGCCCGAAATCTACAAGAAAATATATTTAGTGAAATTTCGAAAATTTTGTTGAAAATTGGTCGAAAATTTGGCGGATTTTGCATATTTTTCAATGTTTCAAAGGACGATTCTGGAAAAACCATTCGAGTTATCGAAGAAGTGAAAGCGGATATGACTTCTACGGCCCGAAATCTACAAGAAAATATATTTAGTGAAATTTCGAAAATTTTGTTGAAAATTGGTCGAAAATTGGACGAATTTTGCATATTTTTAAATGTTTCAAAGGACGATTCTGGAAAAACCATTCGAGTTATCGAAGAAGTGAAAGCGGATATCACTTCTGCTGCCCGAAATCCACAAGAAAATGTATTTAGTGAAATTTTGAAAATTTTGTTGAAAATTGGACGAAAATTGGGTGGATTTTGTATATTTTTCAATGTTTCAAAGGACGATTCTGGAAAAACCATTCGAGTTATCGAAGAAGTGAAAGCGGATATGACTTCTGCAGCCCGAAATCTACAAAAAAATATATTTAGTGAAATTTCTAGAATTTTGTTGAAAATTGGTCCAAAATTGGGCGGATTTTGCATATTGTTCAATGTTTCAAAGGACGATTCTGGAAAAACCATTCGAGTTATCGAAGAAGTGAAAGCGGACATGTCTTCTGCAGCCCAAAATCTACAAGAAAATGTATTTAGTAAAATTTCGAAAATTTTGTTGAAAATAGGTGGAAAATTGGGCGGATTTTGGAAATTTTTCCATCTTTCAAAGGACGATTCTGGAAAAACCATTCGAGTTATCGAAGAAGTGAAAGCGGATATGACTTTTGCGGTCCAAAATCTACAAGAAAATCGATTTAGTGAAATTTAGAAAATTTTGCTGAAAATTTGTGGAAAATTGGGCGGATTTTGCATGTTTTTCAATGTTTCAAAGGACGATTCTGGAAAAACCATTCGTTTTATCGAAGAAGTGAAAGCGGATATGACTTCCGCGACCCAAAATCTACAAGAAAATATATTTAGTGAAATTTCGAAAATTTTGTTGAAAATTGGTCGAAAATTAGGCGGATTTTGCATATTTTTCAATGTTTCAAAGGACGATTCTGGAAACACCATTCGAGTTATCGAAGAATTGAAAGCAGATATGACTTCTGCGGCCCCAAATCGACAAGGAAATGTATTTAGTGAAATTTCGAAAATTTTGTTGAAAATTGGTCGAAAATTGGGCGGATTTTGCAGATTTTTCAATGTTTCAAAGGACGATTCTGGAAAAATCATTCGAGTTATCGAAGAAGTGAAAGCGGATATGTCTTCTGCAGCCCGAAATCTACAAGAAAATATATTTAGTGAAATTTCGAAAATTTTGTTGAAAATTGGTCGAAAATTGGGTGGATTTTGCATATTTTTCAATGTTTCAAAGGACGATTCTGCAAAAACCATTCGAGTTATCGAAGAAGTGAAAGCGGATATGACTTCTGCAGCCCAAAATCTACAAGAAAATGTATTTAGTTAAGTTTCGAAAATGTCAAAATTATGCCGAAATTTGAACAAGGGGGGACCATTGGAAAAATTTCACTTTTACAAAAGTTGTCTAAAAATTCTGAAAAAATTCAGGGATGTATATTTCGACATGCTGATTCCAAAAATATAGCATGTTGATGGCCAAGGAGCAACATTTTCGAAAGAATCGGCACGGAACGTGAATTTTTGGAAATTTCTAAAAATTTAGCAATTTACTAAACTAAAATCATGACACATTCAGGTACAAATTGCTGATAGATGTGTCTTTCTGTTAATAAAACAACCACACTAAATTTGATATTTATTTACTTACAAGCTAGTGTATTTACAACGTGTTTTGTAGATCACAACCTAATAAGATCTTTTGGAGGTGTTTTATAAAAACACCACTTTCTTGACTAAATTTCAACTATATGGATGTCTCCTCAATCTTCAGCGTGTCCTCCGATATGTTGCGTTTTGATACTCGCAACTTGTTGCGAATATTTTCTTTTCGAATCTAAAAAATAAGTTTAGAGGAAACGTCACAAATTTAAAAAAATCTTGGTTTAAAAGTGTGAGTATAATAATAATAATAATCGGGTTTTTATCTAAGTCAGTGGCGTACGGTGATTTTTAATAGAGCAATATTAATAGTAAAAAGAAATTGTGACAAACAACGTAATAACAAGCTCTTAAAATGTGGCCAAAACCTTCGATAAAAAGATTAGTGCATGTCAGATAAATTTAATTCCGACCTTTTCCATTTCTAGCGAGATTATCCACTATCGCGATATTAACACTGATTTTATAAGGACAATAACTATTAACAGCTGTAATAAAAATGGTTAATTATTATTGCACAGTGATTAATTTTGCAGTACACCAACAATCAGAAACGATAAAGTACTTCGTGACTATGATTGTGTGCTCAGAAAAGTGTTTATGAAAAATTCAGAAATACTTCGATGAATTTTTAAAGTACAGGTAAGATTAAACTAAGTTTTTTTTTAAAGATAATACAGTTGTAGAAATTGAAATGTGTGTTATCGGTATATTAGACTAATCTTGTTTTATTCTAGAAAAAACAGTTTAGTCTATATAGAATTATCGTATTTGTAGCAAGACAAATTTTTCTGTAGTCTCCAACGATAGTTCAAATTTATTTGTTACTTATATGTTAACAACTTGTAATACTTTAGATAAAAAAAATCAGTTAACGAAATAATTATCAGATGTTTTGATAGTATTTTATCTTAATTTTTGTGGTTTTAGAGGCCGAAATGCTTTTAAGTGAAAAATATATACCTAACATTTTTCGAATTTTACATGACAGTTAAATTAATTTATTCTATGTTACCAGATAATCACACTTCACGCCGTTGCCAATAACTTAGTAGTAGTAACCATATCTAACCTTGTCTTTTTTTCTTACCAAAAACGAAAGGATGGCCCCTATAAGCTAAAATCCAAGAATTACTTTGGCTCCAATTACGTAACACGTACTCACCTCAATGACTGCAAAACCGATCGCTACGTAAGCTATGACTTGGATATAAGTGCTCAGGGCGTTTGTAAAAGCTTCTGCACATCCAATTTTGTAAGGTAAGTAACAGTTCGTTCGTCCGCAGCAACTGGAAGGGTACGGTGGTGTGTCATAATCAGTATAATTATTAACTCCACAACATTCGAACTAAAAATACCCAAGTCAAAAACTATTCATTTTACCAAAAACTACATTTACTTGGCTTTGAATACTACGGAACGATTTTATGTCTTCCGTGTCCTCGCTGTCAAACAATTCTCTTAAAATGTCTCTCACGAAAACGAAGAAGTCGTTTTCGTCTATGATCTTGACGAGCGCCAGAACACCGACAGCCAGTTGCAGAGCGAAAAGAATAATGAGGATCGAAGCATACTGAAACAAACAAGTTAAACACTGCTTATCTTGTGGTGGTTTCGGTTACGATTGTCAGTAGACAGGTATTTTGGTGAAGAGCGCCGCAGCAGCCGAAGGCGGCGATGAAGAGAATAATCACCCCGACGCACATCGCTAAAATTCCAAGCGAAAAAACGCTACCTATGTCCGAGAAGACGTTCACGCCGTGGTTTTCTTGCATGTAGTAGATAATCCCGAATACGATTAACGTGATGGCACATACCTACAAAAACACTAAACACAACGAAAAACAACAAAACAACTTACCGAAATTATGAAATTAAATACTAGCAACAAGTATTTCGCAAATTCCGAGATGCAGCTCATTTTTACGATTTCGGTTGTCGTATCGGTCTACCTTGAAATAATCCTATCTGATAAAAAAGTTGAGGAGCATCATGATTTTGATTATGAGGAATGATTTAAGAAGAACGGATTCGCGTATTAAACGCTGGAATGCGTGGAGAGAATGATAAGACATCATCGATAATGGCGAGATATCGCTGCTACAATTTGCATTTTTAGCTTATCGAGGACGAAATAATGAAAAAGATAACGGTTTTGCAGCTCAAGTGGGTTGTGGTACTGAAGTGCTGATTTTGTAGTGGTTTGGTATCAAACTGGCTCGAAATGTGTCACTAGATTAACTTTCTCGGATTCAGTAATAAATCAGTTGGGTGGATTATGGATGTCAGGGCTTGACGTTCGAGAATTATAGCAATTAAGACCTGAATTGATGATGCATTTTTTGTATAGTTGGAAATAAAAAATATACTGGTTTCTAACTACTTTAATTGTTATTAAACAATAAAAAATATCAACATTAACGTGTTGGTTTAGCGTTACAGATCGTCGTCGTCAAAGTCGTCGTCAGAGTCTTCGTCCTCTTGGATATGCCACATCTTCATGGTCTTTACAGATACAAAGAAGGCACCAATGCACTAAAAACTAAAAGTTTAAACAGTTCTTGGTTTATCGTTTTGTTTAAGTTTTGACATAAGTGCACTCATCAAAGTTGCTACTGAGGTTAAAATATTTCAAAAATTCCACTCAGTGTGTAATAGTTGAACTTTGTGTCAAACTCTCTTTGTGATAGCCAAATTGTGCTCAAGTTTACAAAAGTTGCAATAATTATTTTTAGGTAATTACAACGGGTGTATACCGTATTATAACAAAGATATTTTTATGACGTAAGTGTTGTATTTTTCAGATTAGATAACACGTAAATATATTTTTTGTGGGTCATTTACTATTTATACCGAAATACTACACGCACTTTAGTAAATAACAAAAGAGTGCGTCGACCCAGGGACGCACGGTTGGAGTTTTAACTCTGCGTTGTCAATTTATATAAATTAAACACGAATACGCGGCGAAGTCATTAATTCTCTCTTAAAAAAAATGATAAAAAAGAAAAGAAGACAAATAAAGGCAGAATTAAATTTAACGCACGACACCGACACCGACACCGACCTCGTATACGTGTTCTATATTACGACAAGAAAGGAGTTAAAACTCCAATAAAAACCGGTTTTTTGCAAACGAAATTAGCTTACCGCGACGATAGCGGCAACAATCGACAAAATCCCCGCCACCCACAAAATCTCCCTCGTGCGTTCAATTACCGCATTGGTGCACCCTTGCGTGAACGGATGTTTACACGGATCTTCATAGTTCTTGCAGCAACTCCTGGGCAACAACTCCATATTATACCTCTTAGAATAGTCTGCGTAGCTGTTGGCGCCGCAACATTGCAACTAAAACTCTCCCGCTTTAAACAAGTCCTTTTCCCGCCACCGCACCTACTATCTGATGGAGATTATCCAACATATTCCTCTGCAACGTTTTGTTGCGAATGAATGCGTCCTGATGGGCCTTCAAGATCCTCCGGGTGTATATTTTCGACGAAGTCGTTTTTATTCTGGACAGATCGATGAAGCTGTACAGGGCAATACTTACGTGGGTTATGCAACCGCTGAAGAGCACGACTCCGTGCTGGAGTGCAGATGGTGAAGTTTGGGTTTCGTTGAGGAGTGACTTACCACGGCGACGAGGGCTATGTGCTTGCGGATGATGGTGGAGAGGCCGAAAGCGGCACTGATTATCAGGAAGGCACCGAGGAAGGCGGTGAGGGAGCCGTTGGCGGTGATGGACGCCGCCAGGAGACGCGATTCTACGACTTCTTGCATCCAGCTGATGCCGAACACCATGAGGACGAAGCCGAGAATCTGGAAAAGGGTGCTTTTGGGGGGTGGTTGAACTGGGCGAATTTACCATTAGGAGGATGTTCACGGTGATTGTAATTATTCGGTAGTGGTGCAGGGTTAGTTTCATGGTTTTTTGGGGGCGTTTGAAGTGCGGTGATGGGAACAAATGTCACGTTTGACAGTTTTTGTTCTGTTTTCGTCGTAGAAAGGATTTGAAGTCGAAATTCGGAACTACGAGAAAAAGTGTTGTTCGTGTTGCTGTTTGAACATATAAATAGTAATAAGTGTTACAGTTATGGAAAGAGTCGTATATAGGCAACCAGTTTTACACTTGGTTAGATTTTAGTGAGATTGATTTACTTAACAAAATTGTAAGTGTGCATTTGTGCGATTCAAGACGTGCAGTAGTCGTGGAATACTTAAGTTGAATAATCTGCAGACCAATTAGAGGTGATTAATGAACAAAGTATAATATCAAGCCTCATCCATCGTGGGAGAATAAATAATACATTGTTGGTAAACAACTTACCAAATAATTTATATTTTATGTTTATTTTGGATGTAAATATTTTCACGTGAAGGCTACTGGTAAATATGGAATAAAATACGTTTTAATGATTCAACGACTAAATTAAAAAGGTGAACCCAAAACTTGGAACCAGCACAACAGTAGGAAATAATGCAAAACATTTAATCTTCTATGCAAACCAGTTCCCCGGATTCGAAAATCCACCGTATCGAGTATGTCATGATTGAGGAGCCAAATTTAACAACTAAAAAGGCAATTAATATGCGGCGTGCAAGGAGCACAAGGTCGCAGTCCCGATTAACAACAACACAAGAAATTTCCCAACCTTCAACCTCATCACATGCGGCTTTTTCAGAATTTTTGACGAACCTCGCATTATTTGCGCAATTACTATTAATTGCGGGTTTCCATTACGGAATGCGAGCGGGAACAGAGGCAAGATTCCTCGAGTACTTCGCTTTGACGCTCTTGGAGAGAAAAGTGGCGCGTGGGCGTTGACCGTTTAGAAACGTTTCTTCGCCTATAATGTTCGCAGAATGCAAGAGTGTTGTTTTTAGTGAAGAAATTGGCCGTTGAAATGAAGAGCGTCCGAGGGGGGCGGACAGTCGGTTGGAACATATTTCCAGTCTGGCCAACGTTATCATTATTTTTCTATCGAGAACACTAACGACAACAATAATGATTACGTTGGCGAAATTGATGCCCTGTGATCATTATTTTGAGAAAAAAATCTAAATCACTGCTATTCACGAGCTGTGTTTTGCATGCATTTAATAGGAGGAAAATTACGGATATTTTAGTGGAGTAGACGCACTTCGACGAGCGTTGCGATAAGAAGAGGTGTCATTAAACCATCCCTATTAGATAATTTATACAGGAATTCATAACAGGTATTAAATATCATGTTTTGCGAGAACTATTACCGATGGTTTGTGGATTAAAAAAAAAAACTCTCAAGGGGTCAAAGGTGTGCTACGAAAAAAAAAACCTGGTATTAAAATCAATACGTATTTATTAAAGAATAAAGAAATTTTGTTTTTTCTATAATTACATGGCGCAAGCTTAAATGACAAAACGACGCCAACCACCTACCTGATCTACATCTTAATCAGAATCTTGTCTTTTTATTTCGTCATTTTTTGCGGTTTTCACACCGTAGTTGAATCTCAATGACTTCGGGGTATTAATAAACATGAGTTTGGTTGCATTGAAAAAATTCTAAAAATACCCGATGTGCATTTTTCCCGTTTTCAACGATGATGTTGACACAAAGATGTGCAATAGATGATTTCATTAAACCAACACTAATTAGAAAAAATTGACCACAAGTATGATAATTGTTGGTTGTGTTTCTACTGTAAACAGCATTGTGCGTGATTTTTGTAATGCTGAAGGGTACGTATGTGTAAAGAATTATTTATATCCGATTTTTAGTCATTCCTGGAAGCTATTTTCCGAGCACACATCAATAAAACATCCCATAAAATTCCTACCTCGAACCGTGACTCATTTACCCACCTAATATTTTTCATCTGCGGTCGCCTTTTTCTGCGAATCGTTGAACTTTTCCAGCATTTCCTGCGTGCATAAAAAGCGGATCGCCCTAAGTGATTGAATATTCGGGCACCGCAGCATTCCTCTCCGAGATAATCCGCCGCAAAATTACCATCGAGGCAATTTAGAGCCGTCATTAAACCATTTTTTCGCACACTTCAATTCCCTGCCAGAGATTATAAAACAATATCTCCAGGTTCGGAACCCACCTACTTCTCCGAATCACGTTCGTCGTGTTCCTTGTAATTATATCGAGATGGTACCGGTGGGTGGAACATCCACCAACATCACAAATCACACCAACAGTTGTTCGTTCTTCATCTTGTAAGCAGTTCTAACGCGAATTCACTGGTCTTCAAGGTCCATCAAGGACGAGTTACCCACCGCTTGACGTCATGGGTTGGACGTTCCAAGAGATCATCGTTTCGTGATGGTATCGCGTTTTTTCTAGGCGTACGGCGTGGAATGGTTTCACTTTTCTGATGAGTAATTAGTGATCGATGATTAGTCATAAGCAGCTTTGTAAAAAAAAAGATTCAGCTGGTGACCCTTCTCCCTCTCCCACTTTGTTAACGCACCGCGATGTAATAAGCTTACAATCACCGTTTCGTTTAAAAATGCAAAAATTTTGTTTATGAACCACGCCACAATGAGCCTTTGGGTGTCCTTCAAGCCATGGAACATGGTTTTCTTCGAAGCAAGATTGTCTAGGCCAAAGGTCACGGCTTGAACTCCCTCGCTATTGATTGAATTATTACAACAGCGCAGCGCTCTCCGTATGGTCTTCCTCTGCTTCGAGAACAAGCAACAAAGTGCTTAAATTGTATTTTAGTCCTCTAAATCTATTTATATTCTCACGCTGCTTCTAGAGTAAACACGCTCTAGGTGCTAATTGTGCCGTATTTGGGTAGGTCCGAGGTTTTTTGCGGAAAGCGCGGTTTCTTGACCCGTCACTAGAGGTAAACACCTACTGGATGACCAAAAGGGAGTCGTTTTCTCGAGGCGGATTTACGTTGGTGTGGGCTAAAACCCGAAAGTGGGTGGTGAACTTTTACTTTCTGCGATTGAATCAGCTATGGGATGAAATACCGTTGCGTGTATATACATTTCATACTTTCTTGTTTATTACTCGAGGAGAATTATTCCCACGTAACCGTGATGCATGGAATGTTTTCGAAGGATGGAAGTTAGTGGTTGAGGGAGCGTCGTGGCTGCACGACTCCGGGAGAGAAGAAACTGAAGACACAATATTGGTGGAAAAGAAGTCAATGAAAAATATCTTCAGATTATACTATCGCGGTATTTACGTTATTTAATTGAGTCTAAACACAGAAGTGCACTTTCGGTAATTAACGATAATTGGTGAAACTACCAGCGTGGATAATTTGCCTATTTACTATGTTAACAGGACACAGCCTGACCCAATTTAATTAACATAACACTACTAGTGCGTAACAAAAAAAGGCAGTGAAAAATATACAACAAGCTTTTTTATTTTAGCTGCTTGAAACCGGTTTAGTTCGACATGTGTCATACTTATCACAAATGACACAAGAATTAACATAACCTATAACTTGCTAACTTACATTCTGTTGGTAAGTAACTTGCAGGAAGGAAAAACAAAACAGAAAGTAGACAAGTTTGAAGGAACGAGCTGCCAACCTTGACCATATGACACTATCTACGACAACCAACTGAAACCAAAATTGCTCATTTGCATTTTCAAACCACTGGTGTTTTTCAGTAATGAACAAATCAAGAGAAAACGAGATTTGCTTCAGTTTCTACCGAAGGCACTTATTAGTGCATCGAGGCGTTCCAGAATAATTATTCTAGATGGTGGCGATTTAACGTTTATCTTTGAATCGACCTTGCTTAAATACCAGTCTTTTGAGACACTTATTGTAGTCATTTTGTAAATAAAATATAGCGTATGTGAGAAAAATTAGCATATGTTTTCATCTAACATGCATATGCATGTACAGCCCCGTAGCTAGAAAACTTATTCAGGGGGGGCAAGTTTGTCGACAGAGGGGGCTTCATGTAAATATTTATATTTTAATAATACACTCAGATAACTACTTTACTTTTTCTGAGTTTTTATATTTGAAAGAACATTAAAATAATTGGAAACGTCGATTTTTCACGCTAAATTTTCGTAAAAACCTGTCGAAGTCCAAAAAATTAGTACGGTACTTGGTTAAAATGCTGGTTAAAACAGAGAATGTAGATTCACAAACAGCTGTACTGCATCCAAAAATTTGTGTAGTGACCATATAGGTAACATCCAATTTGTTTGAGTTTATTTTTTTGCATGTTTAGTACATATTTTAAAAATCCGACTTCGAAACCAAATATTTCGAAAATTTTGGTACGGAACCATGAACTCGTCATGTTTTTTTAAACTCGTCGAGATGTGTATTTCAGAATTTTTTGTCAACTTTAACAAAAGCTCAATTTTTGGAAACCCATATAAAATTTTTGACTTTTTCCAAGCATTTTCGAAAATTACCAAAAGAATTCCTTTGTTCATCTCGATTTCTTCCAAAAATCGTTTTGGATTCAATTTTTTTGAAAATTCTTACATTTTTTGCAGAATCGACGGAAGAAAAATGGCAATTTTTGAGAACCTGTATCAAATTTTTGACTTTTTTCAAGCACGTTCGAAATTACCAAAAGGGATTCCTTTATTGATTTCGATCTCCAGATGTTGTTTTTGGTTGTTTTTTCGAAAATTCGTACAATTTTTCCATAATCGCCAAAAGAAATATGGTAATTTTTGAGAAATTTTGAAAATTCCAGCTCGAAACCGAGTATTTCGAAAATTTTGATCCGGAACCTTGAACCTGTCATGTTTTTTTAAGCTCGTCGAAATCAATATTTCAGAATTTTTTGTCAACTTTTACGAAAGTTCAATTTTTGAAAACCCATATAAAATTTTTGGCTTTCCCAAGCATTTTCGAAAATTACCAAAAGAGATTCCTTTGTTCATCTCGATTTCCAGAAATCGTTTTGGATTCAATTTTTTTGAAAATTCTAACTTTTTTTCCAGAATCGACGGGAGAAATATGGCAATTTTTGAGAA